CGCCGACAGGAGCGCCGAACTTCTAAGCTCTGTATCTCGAGAATCAGAAAAGCTATTGAAAATTTTAAACTAACAAAATATGTATAAGTTTATGCTCTATAATTTCCAATTTTCCAAATTTTTCTAGCGTTTCTAGTTCTTGAGATATAGGTACTTACCGAACCCATGTGAAATTTTCACCGCCGCAGTGTTACTTAAAATCTTCATCTCCTTTAATCTATCAATTCCAATACCCCAAACAATCTTGAATATCATATTAAAAATGTTGGGAATAGAAGTGAATGTTCCATTCTGAAAAAAGAAGGGTTACTGTAGCTACAGTAATCCTGTCTTACAGCAATAACTCCAAGATGCAGAACCTCTTTGAAATAGGCGGGAAGATAAATTTGAAAAAGTGTCATGACCATATTTACAAAAAATTGACACTGGAGTTGCGCCAAAAACGCTGGAGACGTTAGGATTTTGGCATAAGGGACTGATGGAGACTTCTGGAATTTGTCAATAGAGCGAACTTGCTTGATAAATGGAAATTACCTTTGATTTATTGATTTTCTTCATTGTATTAGCTAATAGGTATTCTCTTTCTTTTTTAGTCATTATTTTCACTTTAGATGGGTGGCTCGAAGCAGTAAAAAACCAGATAATGGACCAAATAGTGGCAAGGATTCCTGGAAAAGAATAAAAAAGGATGGCGCAATGTTGGTTGGGGGGCCACTCTTTTTTGAATTTTTTTTGGCATTTTCTGACTTGCGCATTAATTCTAAGCATGTTAGAAATATTTTTGAGGTGTCTGGACATCCATAAAGTATAAAATAATATAATAAAATGCAAATTCCTGTTATTTGCTTCTTTTTTTTTAGGCTTAGGCTAAAACGCCTTGGCACTTGAAATATGAATATTTGGAACTTTTAAAGGAGGCCAGACATGAAAAATTTTAAAGTTCTAGTTTTTTTATATATGACACGGTACAGTCAGAAAATATGTATGGCCATCCAACCATAACTCCATTTTGCCGTACAAGCGAGAACGCGAACGTTCTTCCAAGCGGCGGCACACTCCTCGTTTCATAACCGTTTTAGCGGCAGCCAACGGCAGGCGCCGTTTGGTGTAGAGGTGAACGCGCTTGTCTACCGGTCGCGTATCGCGGGTTCGATTCCCACCCATCCGTTTTCGTTTTTTTTTCTGTTTTCATGCGGCGACATCATGGAATGACAGAATATCGACAAAATGTCTGGAATTATCGCCTAACATTGAAAAAATCTAGTGTGTACTAAAAAAATAAATGCTCGTCAAGCAGCGCGCATTGGTCGCAATCGCACGACTTTCCGTCAGAATGCATGATCTCCTCTGGTAATCGGTTTCTAACCAGATTCGAGTAATTTTCCAACCAGATTCGGGAAAATTCCGGAGCAGAAATGGCTAGATCTGGTTGGAAAATTAGCCGAATCTGGTTGGACTTTCACCAGATCTGGTCGGAAAATACGAGCGGAGCGTCGTAGTGCGCGTTGTTTAGTGAACCCGTATTTTGAAATTTCCCGTACCGTAAAAAGCATTTAAAAATAACTTTATTAAGAAATCAGTAAAAGTTTCCTTAATTCTTTCTTCATTTGCTCAATTCGTCTTCCTTGAGATCGTACCTGATTTCGAATGTGTAGTGGTCAGTGTGTGCTATCGGTACGGTTTCGGTAAATTTACCGTAAATTTACTGGTGATTTACCGGTAAATTTCGGTGAATTTTTACCAGTAAATTACCGGTAAAATTACCAAAAAAGCCGTTACCGGTAAGTGAAAAAAAATCGGAAGTCACACACTGGTAGTGGTAACAAGAAAGTAGATTCTCTGCAAATCTTGATTACTTTGACACCTCCAGGCGTTTCGTGTCTCTCCTTCTTCAATCTCGTTCAATTCACTTCTGTCAGTCAAAAAAGTTCCATCGTCACTGTTCCTCTCTCCTACATCTTCTTCATTGCCCGAGGCAACAATTGAATCAATTCCGAAAGTTTCGTTATTTCCCGATTCTGTTTTCCCGTCAACTTTGAGATCATACTGATCCTTTCGCCATTTATACACTTTTTCTTCAGCGTCTCGCATAATTTCTTCCAGTGAGCACCTGTTTCGCTTCATAATTATCTGAAACCTTCGAAATTATTCTATTTTGAACAACTATGGGCAAAACAACCTAAAAAAATCAAGCACTTAATTCTCGTCTGTTGAAAGCGCAAGAAATCCGAATATGGTTGAAAAGAGCAGTGACTGGAAGCACCTGAATGGGTAACCAGGAATAATAATTTCAAAAAGCAAAAAAAAAACTGAAATAATGAAAAAATCTGAAGTTTTCGCTGATTTTTTTGGGTCTTTTCTGTTGAAAGCGCGAGAAATCCGAATCTGGTTGGAAAATTAGCTTTGTCGGATCTGGTCAGAAAATCACCGGATCTGGTCGGAAAATAAAAAGTTTCCGAATCTGGAATTTTACCCGAATCTGGATGGAAAATTTCCCGAATCTGGTTAGAAACCGATTACCAGAGTCGCCCCAAGAAAACCCCGTAGACTTTCGTGTCTGGCCTCCTTTAAACCGATTCTCGGGAAAGTTTTTCGGAAATGAAGCATTCTCAATCAGCATTTTTGATGAGATTTGCATTTTTCTCCTATTTTGGCTTTTGTGATTTGGGGCACCCAAATTTTTTGAATTTGGCGCCAAAAGTATCCCAGAGGAAGGGAAATAAGGCGTTTTTGCCTAAGCCTATAATTTTAAATAAAAACCAAACATTTTGAAAAGAATTTTCAGCCAAAATGTGCGATTTTCACTGATTTTCGCCAATTTCAGTACTTTTTTGGCTGAAATTTTTTTCAGATTTTTTTGTTTTTTTTTTAAATTATAGGCTTAGGCAAAAACCCCTTGTTTTCTTTCCACTGGGTCATCCGAAAATGGCGCCAAATTCAAAAAATTTGGGCCGCCCTCCGAACTACGTTAGCGCCGGCGTTTAGCCTAAGTCTAAAATAAAGAAGCAAATAACAGGAATTTGTAGTTTATTATATTATTTTATACTTTCTAGAGGCCCAGACACCTCAAAAATATTTCTAACATGCTTAGAATTAATGCGCAAGTCAGAAAATGCCAAAAAAGTCAAAAAAGAGTGCCCCCCCCCCCCAACCAACATAGCGCCAAAAGGATTTCAAGGGAGGTGGGTTCGAATCCGGGTGTCTAGATTGATAGGCGAGGTTCTTAGCCACTACACCACACTAGGCAGTGGCGCTAGTGGGCTGCGGCGCGACAGTGAAGGGTGGTGGCTGCGCCCTCATTTCTTTACGACAAACACAACCCTTTCTTCAGTTGGTGCGTTGGTAGACATGGTTACGCTTTTGCCTTTGAATCTAGAGGTCGCGGGTTCGAGCCCACCTGTGACATTTTTTTAAAATTCCTTTTTATGGCCTTACGATAGTGTTCCTATCGGTTTTTATGTCTTTTTTAAGGTCCTACCAGCAAAATAAAAAGTGGCCTGCCACCCTAAATCGGATGCACAAAGAGCAGCGACCACAGGACTTCCACCAGCCGACGCAATCTGATTTCCAAGTGTAAAAATCGATAGTGCTGTACTCTTTTCAGCACTTGGAAACCAATTTCCGATTATTGCATTGTTGGTAGGGATGATGAAGCCCTAAAAGAATTCCTATTTTTTCAACCCAAATTTTCTGTTTTAAACCTCGCCTAATCCCATCCCAACTCTAGCCAAAAAGACTGAAAAATATCCGAAATGTGTGGCCAGGAATGGGGTGATTACTGTAACCAAGATGTATGCAGCAACAGCTAGCTGGAGAACATGACGTGGCGAAAATCGCTCGATGAAGAACATCGAGGGGAGTACGGTAATCAGAGAACCCCAGAATGTTCCAGAGAAGATTAGGTTTTGCTCGTAGCTGGTCCAGACTAGGTCACCCTGAATGAGAGAGGTTATATCTCCAAAACTAGGAGAGCTAGAGGAAAAGTTGTAACTGAAGAATTGTAGAGCATAAAATTTAAAACATTTTTCCAGTTGGAAGTTTTTAGATAGCTAGCTTGGTTCTCGAGATATAGAGCTTTAAAGCAAAGGCGGCTGGCAAGGAGGAGGGCGCACCGCCATTTCCCTGCGTCTCCACAGCGAGAGGTGCCGCTTTCTCTGCGTCTCTCGCTCTCTCGCCGGCTGGAGCGCCCTAACTTCTAAGCCATGTATCTCGAGAACCTAGCTAGCTATTGAAAAAACTTCCAACTAGTAAAATATCCGAAATTTTGTAAGCTACATTTTCCAATTAAAACTCTTTATCTAGCTCTTCTAGTTTTCAAGCTAGAAGCCAATTTCCAAACCATACCCCATAATCCACTACAACTTTCTGTTGACCAGTGTCTTCAGCTGATCCGCACTGACCATTTGTCACTAAATCGATCTGAAAAGTCAATTTTAATATTTTCAGGCCTTTTTGCCTAAAAACCTCCTCAACAAGTGAGAAATTTGAATTTCCCGCCGCCGCCGCTGCCTCATTTCTGACAGCCAACGCTGTCGAATTCACCATACAAGTCATGGTTAGTGCGAAATGGATTCGCATGAAAGTCGTACACAGAAATCCGACCTAAAAATGTTTAAAAATTTGGAATTTTTTGAACTATCAGAACAATTCCTACCATACATAGTAAAATTATATGAAGTCTTCTGGAAAACGGATGAAAAAGTGCTGAAAAAACAGTTTTTTGGGTTTTTTTTTCAAAAAAATACTCACGAAACTTATTAGGCATTTTTAGATGGTGTCACAAAATTTTCTGACTTTTTAAAAAATTCGCTATCATTTTTTTTTTCTGTGTGATGTTTAATTTTTTGTGTATGTGTGTGTGTGTATTGGCTCAAAATGATTGATTCATTATCATTTTTCGGGAACATTATAGTTTTGGAACTGATAAGAAACTTCCTTTTGTTATTATTGATGACATTTTTGGGTTCTGGGATGAGAGACGGAGAGAAGAGAAGATGTCTGGTTTCTCTGTCTTACCAAACTTTAATTGTAAAAATGTGTAAAATTTTAAGAGCTACATTTTTGTGGTTGCTGGCTTTTAGCTAGCGTAAATGGTTTTTGAGATACGCGCTTTTAAAGTGAGCGCGACCTGATAGGAAGCTCAAAGACGGCCTCTAGAGGCGCGTACACTTTAAAGGCGCATATCTCACAAACTATAATAGAGTTATCAATTATCAAACTAAAGTTATCAATTATCAAACTGTAGCTTATAAAACGTGCTACATTTTTGTAGTTGAAAACATTTTTGTAGCTTTCATACTTCTTGAGATATAGCGCATACACCCTTTTATGTCTGCCTGTTTGTCCAGATGTCCGCAAAATTGTATATTTGTTGTATAGTGATTCCAAATTACCTTTATTTTGTTCAAATTAGTTTCATCTCATATTTTGTTCACCAACATTCTCTAAAATTGCGGAAACTGCGAAATTTTCTTGGATTGGAGCCAATTTGTGCTCAATTGAGCCCGGGGAATTCTCCAAACAATTTCATATTCTTCTGAATTCCAAATTCTCGAATTTTCTCTTTTGAAAATGTCGCTTTTCAAGAAATGCGTCGACTTGAATCCGAATTTTCGAAAACCGCTGGATATTGGATTGATTTGGTGAGTTTTCTGAATTTCTGAATTTCCGAATTTCTGAATTTCTGAATTTCTGAATTTCTGAATTTCTGAATTTCTGAATTTCTGAATTTCTGAATTTCCGAATTTCCGAATTTCTGAATTTCTGAATTTCTGAATTTTTGAATTTCTGAATTTTCAGATTTTCAGAAATTTTTCGGGATTACTGTAATTTTTGTAGTTTACATTTTTTAATTGATTTACTGTAGTTCTCATAAATTTTTATTTTCTGGCATTTCTGGAATTTGGATTACTGTAGTTTTCATTTTTCCAGGGAAGGCAACTATTGGGACGATCAAGACGTACACGACTGCTGTGACGTGGATTGGGATACTGTAGATATTCTAATCCGGAAAATCTCTAAATCTCTTCATTTACAAACGGCTCCAGAAGAATCTGGAAATTCTGAAAATCCCAAAAACCCCCAAAAAATCCTCATTTTTCTCCCAAAAATCTTACAACTTCCTCTGACAATTCTAGCTGGATATCATGCTGGATTTCAAGTTTCGATTATGGTATTTTGAGGATTACTGTAGATCTGAGTTTTCAAAAAAAAAACGTTATTTTCAGAATCCCCTAACGACGAAATCGAAAATTTTGAAATCAGTAATTTTGGCTGAAAATCCGAAATTCCTGATATCGGTGGACGCATTTTGGCAGGCTCAGGAGCTTATTGAGGTCAAAAATGCGATTGAGGTAGTTTATCAATGGGGCGCATTTTGAATTTTCAAAAATTCAAAAGTTCAAAAATTCAAAAATTCAAAAATTCAAAAATTCAAAAATTCAAAAATTCAAAAATTCAAAAATTCAAAAATTCAAAAACCTCAAAAATTCTCATTAGAGCGAATTTGCCTTTTTCCAGCCAATCATCTCCTCCATCTCCTCCACCCAATTGCTCATTATCCGCCACGTGTCACCAAATCCCGGAGTTCCGCCCCCAAAAAAGCATTTTCCGGCGCGCCGCCCGTCCTACCGTACCCAGTTAGATCTGCATGATGGACGCGACTGGGAGTGGAGTACTGTAATGGCTGGGATTACTGTAGCAAAAGTTCCAGAAGATTCCTCTTTTGCCTGGAAAGATGACGATGTTATTTTCACATTTATCAATGAAAATGGGTAATTTTATCTTTAACAGTTATTTTTGATCTCAAAAAAAATTTGTGTGTTCCCCCGTTCCCCCCAGTGCCAGTCACCATTCTCTTGAGCAAATATAGACCGCACACGACGAAAGAACCCCAAAAAAAAGCAAAAAAAAATCAGCAAACACACTTTTTTCCAGAAAATCCCATCCCGTGAGCCACACCGAGCTACTCGACGCACTTGAAGCACGAAAAGTGGGTCTCGAAGCGAAAATTGGAAATAACAATCATGTTGAAAATTTCCTGGTGCTCGATTTCCCCGAAAATTTGAACTCCCTGGTGGATTTGCTGATTCCATGGTATATGGGAAAAACCTTGACTTTGGTGAGTTGCCGCCCCGCCGCGCCCTCCCTCTTTCCCCCTCCTCTCTATACGCCTTCCGCCTCTCCTTCTGCTAGTGCCGCCTGTGGCGCAGGTGGGTGGAGCGTTGCCTATGAATCTGACACTTGTTGGTTCGAGTTTTGCCGAGGCCAATTCCTTTTTAAAGCTTTTTTCCAGCCAAATTTCAGAGGTTTTTTTCAGTACGAAGGTCCTCCAAACTACCCAGACTCCTCCCGTCTAGCCCAAATCATCTCCAAGCACAATGTCAACATGGTCCTTGGAGAAAGCTCACCAATCCCAAATCCCGAATACCTAAAATTCTTCAAAGTTCCAAGTCTGAAATTCATCGTATCCCCTCAATTATCCAACTATTTTAAGTCATAAAAAATCGTTTTTTTTTCGAACCGCCTTTCTCATTTATTCATCTCAATTTTCAACAAAAAAAAAAGGACAAACACAAACGAAGAAAAGCGATGGGGATTTTTTGTGGTGTTTGGGCGTATAAACGGTGTGGGTTGCTATAGATTTTTCTCAGAAGCAAAAAAGCTATCAAAAATCAAAAAAAAAAAAAAGAGAGAAACGACGAAGAAAAAAAAACAACAGGAACCAGCCTGCCAAAAAAAATAAAGACATTTTAAAGAGCGAAAAAAAAACAACATAAAAAAAAGAGGCAAACAAGATGTATATACGAGTTTTAGGATAGATTTTCTGGAAGGGGGAAGGGCTTAGATGATTTTCAGATTTTTTCTTTTTTCGAGAAAACCGGTTAAAATAGCAATCGGGTAGAGAGAAGGGGAAAAGGGGGGCGGGGCTAGTAGGGGGGTTGACACCAAAATCAACAAAAAACAAAGAAAAAAGTGCCCAAGAAAAATATATAAATAGAAGAAGAGAAAAAAGAAAAAAATCTACTGCGCGCGAAATTTAAAAAATGAATAAAGAGAAGGAATTTTGGGGGTTAGATAGAGAAAAAAAAAGATAACAATATATATTTTTGGGGGGAAAATCGGGGACTTTTAAATGACATGGGGGCGAATTTATATATATATACGGGTGCTATATATGGGGATGAAAAAAGAAAAATGCGCTTCCAGGCGCCATACAAACATTCTAAAGGGGACGGGGCGATAATAATAAATAATATAAAGGGGCGGGGCTTATTTTTTTTGGAATTTTTTGAGGGCTCAATGGGAGGAGGTAAGGGGAGCTCTGGGGAACCGAGACCAGCTCGTGTCTGCTCTAAAATAACCCTAGGATGGATAGTAGAAAAACCATTGAAACACCAAAACGACGTCGAGACAAGGGGGCGGGGCCTAAAAACATACAAAAAACACTCTCTGGGGGGATCATTTTACACGAAAACGCGTGGGCGGGGCGAGCACCAGGCTCAACAAAAAAGAAAATCAATAAAAACCACTCTAGATGGGAAAAAAGATGTACTGTAGGTCGACGGCGGCGGTGGCGCGGGGGCAATTGATCAACAAATAAAAAAACCAATAGTAGGGGCACAGCCCCATTCGCAAAAAAATACACAAAAAAAACAACAAAACCAAAAAAACTGGAAAAAACTGGGGGCAAAAACTGCGGAGCTCAAAAACCTTAAAGGATAAAAAACACTAAAAAATCACATTTTTGCGGTGGGAGGGGGGGCAGACATTTACAAGAAGAAGAAGGGGTGGGGGAAGGGATCCTCGTGGCTGCTGCTGCTCAATCTTTGCTCAATCAGAAGTTTCTAGAAGAATCGAAATGCTCTAGATCTGGCCAGTTCCAGCGGCGGCGGCTGTCGATGGCGATGCTGGCAGGAAGCGGTAGAGGTAGAGGCGATAGTCCTTCGAGGCAAGAACCACCGATCCATCGTCAACGAGGGCGACGTCGAAGCATTGAGCGTGCTTGACACGCGACTCGAGGGCACCAATCATTGTGCCGTCCTGAAAATAATGGTTGAATTTTGATTACTGTATTTCCAGAAATCCGTCAACATTGAGCTCAAAAACTGCCAGCTTTGAGCTCGAATATCTCGCTTCCTGTCAAAGATAGCAAGAAATTTTCAATTGATAAAATGGTGCTGATTTTATGACAATCATTTTATCAGTTGAAATCTTCTTGATATCTTTTATAGAAACCGAGATAATTCAGCTTGGAATTATCTAACTTACCTGCGAGAAGACAGTCAAATTGAAGTTGTTATGGTTATCAGCAACAACCACCTCTCCCAACGAGTTGATTCCAACGCCAATCGGATAGTTGGTGACGCCTTCTCCACCAATTTGACGCAAATATTGTCCCTCGTAGGAGAACACCTTGATGCAGTGAGCACGATTGTCCGAGATCAGAATCTCGTTCTTGTCGTTGGTGCACACGCCGTTGGGAAACTCCAGATAGCGAGAGCACGAGAACTTTTGCAAAATGTTGCCGAACATGTCAAAGATGATGACTCGCATCACTTTGCACTCGACCACAATGATCCGTCCCTTGTTGTCGACACACACTCCACGCGGATGTTGAAGAATGTTGGCGCCAAACTTGCGCAAGAATTGACCGTATTGATTGTAGACTTGAATTTGATGAGTCGGCGACCGCTCGGTGACGACAAAGTCTCCAGTGGTACGATTCACGGCAACACGGTTCGGGTACAACAGCTGCCCGTCGCGCTTTCCGCACTCTCCGAATTGGAACTTGAAGCGGCCGTCCTTGTCAAACACCTGGATACGATGGTTGTTCGTGTCGGCGACGACAATGTCTCCCTGTCCGTTGACAGCCACTCCAGATGGTTCAGTGAATTGGCCTTCCATGACTCCAAACTCTCCAAACTTGCAGTGATAGATCATCTTCTGTCGTTTGATCTGAGAGCGAGATGGTGGGAAGAGCGTCTGGAATTTCTCCTCATCAACGTTTCCTCCCTCGAGGAGTCCTCCAACTGATCCAACTGGCTCAACTCCAAGACTCCATTTATCGTATTGCGATGAGAATGGATCAGCGCTGGCGGCGGCTCCGTTAAGGGCACTGAATGGTCCAAGCGATTGTGAGGATCCTCCAAAGTCCTTGTTCGGCCGGAGGAGGTTGGAATCCGAGAAGGCATTCATTGGAAGCGACGCGGCGACGTGGTGTGGTGGCGAGCGGGACAGTCCGTTCTGCTCGATTTGGATGCCACGAGTTGATCCCGGGGCTCTGCCAATTGGCGTTGGCGGCATTCCAGTCTGCGCTGATGGCATCAGGAAGTCATTTGGAATGGCGATAGGATTGGAATTTCCTCCACGTACACTTCCGAGAAGCTGTTGAACTGCACTGGACGAGTTGCTGTACAATCCGGCGGCTCCGAGGTACTCAATTTCGCACGACGTGTTGAGCACTCCGCTGGTCTGAAAATAAAGTAATAATATATATATATGCGTAAAGGGATATTGTTATGGCCCATATGGGCTTATTCAGCTTGGTAAAACCTATTTTAAACCTAATTTACCAAGCTGAATGACCCAAAGAACCCGGAAAAAGAGCCCAAAGAATCCCGGGGGAAAAATGACACAGGGCATGCTCACATCGGGATTGAAGCCCAGGAATAGTTGAAGACGAGTGTCGAGCAACTGTTTGAACACCATAACCTCGGCTGGCGACGAGAACGACATGAGGCGTCGGGAGAACTCGATGGTTTGCGAGAGCTTGTCGGCCATTGATTGAATCCGTTTGTCGACCATTGTGAGTTGGATCTGAAAATAAGGAACATGGTCATTTTGTACTTTTATCAGAAAGTGTGAATAGATCAGTGTCCCCTGATTACTGCGCAAGATCATCTTGCCAAGATAAGCCAGGCGACGCTGTTAATAGTGATTTTCGTTCCCCTTATCCCTCCATCCCACCCTCCCTACCCCTCAAATCCTTATCACCCCCTCTCAATCCCTGGGTGGTCTCCATGGGTGGTCTGAGACCAGGTCTCGTGGGAACCTTATCTAGCCAACATCTCTGGATTCAGATCTCTCGTTTCCGGTACTCATCCCTATCTCTACTTGTCATCTTTGCGTACACCCCTCTCTCGAGTGGGTGGCAAAAAAAAATGGGACTCTCTTGTTAGATAGGAGGTCATCTTGTTGCGCAATCAGACATACTCAATTATTGTTAGGCTGGATCCATTGTTTCCACGGTTCATTTTAACAAAAACACAGCCAGCGGGTGGTCCTTATTGTTTCTCTGGCTACTGTAGTCTGACCAGACAATAAGTAGGGCATTGTCTCGTAGGGTGGTGGAACATTGGTGTCTGAGCAAATATGATCTCTTGGACAGCGAGGCGAGCCAACTAGGAGCAAGGCTTAGAGCATCGAAACAAGACTTGGCCCTCTAATTTATAATAGCTACAAAATGGGCCAAATTTCGACCGATTTAAGCTGACCCAAGGATCATTAAGAGCATCGAAACAAGATCAATACACTGAGAAAGCGAAATTTCAATTTTTCCCAAATTTTATGGTCTAAAAAGCCTGGGAAAATTGCTACAAAATTAGCCTAATTTCCACTAAAAAAACCCCGCGAAATTTGAAATTCAAAATCTTCCTAATCCCTCAAATCCCCTATACTATGCGTCAAGGCCAAACTAGAGGGAGGCAACATTCGACCTCCTTTTACCGCCTAATTTCCTTCTCCTTTAATCCATGCGACACAGGGGAAAATGACCTCATTAAACCACCATAAACACCTCTTTGGTCAATTCTTTGGGCTGCTGTTTTGATTGTTGGGTCAGCAGCAGCATCAGCTACTCAGATCAGATATCGACAAAGACACCTGGCTCATAAAATTCCGGGCGGTCCGGGGACGGCTACTCTACTGGTAATTAGGACCCCCCCCCCTCCCGATAGTTTTGATCTCGCCGCTTCTGTTAGGGTAGCGATGGCCATCTGGCACCTTATGCTATATTTGCAAGTTCTATGATTCAAATTCCAGCATTAATTATGCTTATTTAACGCTATACATACGCTAATTTTGCACTCCAAAATCCCAGAAAAACTACCTGCTTCGCCGCAAACGCGTTATCAATCTCCTTGGACAGCTGCTTCTTCTGCTCCTGAATCGCTTGGAGCAGCGTGGACACCGTTTCGTCGAGCTGCGCGTGAGCATTGTGCAGCGAGGCCGTCAGGATCTGTTGCTTCGAGTCGACCTGGAAATTTAGACAATACAAATGACCAATGTCCATATTTGTACATCGTATTAAGGGGTCCCCTCATTTTTACACCTGTCCCTACTTGGGATGGATCGAAAGTGTTGATCCGTTCTCAAAGGGCAAATAAGGTGAGATGTATGAGGATTAACAAGAAAAAAGATGCCTCACCTGCTTAAACATGTCCAGCATGTCAGCGTGCTTGTTTCTCGCGTCGGCGATGAGTTGCTCCATTTTCAGCAGCTGTTTGTCAGCAACCTGTAAAACATAATTTTTTGGGGGGGGGGGTTTCTGGGTAAAAATGGCTATTTTTAAGGCCAAATGGGCCTTTTTCCAGGCCTTCGTCAAGGGGAAATACACCAAGTTTTGTTCATTTTCTGGGGAAGCTGAAACCCCTCAGAAAAGCACCTGACACTCTATTTCTCTCTGTCTCTCACTCTAATCCTCAATCTATAGTAGTAAAATAGAAAACTCTTTGACACAAAGATTTTGGGGATTATCTATCTCTACAAAGCTCGGTATTGCATACATGTCCTTATAAGGAGGACAGGTGCATGACATATCTGATCTGATGACATATATATAGTGAGAGTGAGAGCAGATGTTGTCATGTGCTCCTTCTTCTTCTTCTTCGCCTTGATTAGGCTCTCTATTCATGCGTGATGATCTACTATGTCACGACTCCGATTCGCCCACACATTAATCACATTATAGGGTTACACTACTGTTTCTAATTATTCTCATAAATCCTAAAAGCCCAAATTCAAATTCAAATGATTTGAATCAAAATAACTTAATTACCGTAAAGTTTGAGCCCATATATCTCGGCTCCTATAAAAGATATCAAAAACGTGTCAACTGATTAATGTTCGTGGTATTGTGATAAACAATTTATCAGTTGATCACTTCTTGATATCTTTGACAGGAATCGAGATAAATTGGTTCGAAGTTAGGAGTGAGGGGGGCCCTTCTAATACAGGTTTTACGGTATATGTAAAATCATGAAAGGAATCAAATGGTAGCGATTTCCGAGCTATTAAACTAAGTCAGAAAAACGTTATTTCTGATTTCCACCTTCCTCAAACACCTACATCTGAAATCAGCTCATACTGATGTGTTCCAGCTGGATGGTCCGCCTGAGTACAATCTCTGCAGATCGCCAAATTGCACGTCACACAGAAGAAGACGAGCTCCGAAGCACGATGCTGGAGACAGAGCACTGGCCGCTTTCCATTCCCGAGTAACATCATCGCAGCGGCTGCCTGTGGAGAGTGTTTTCCACCCAACGACGCCAACAACTGACTGCGTTCCGAGTCGGAGCTGCTTGGTGTAGAAGACGTCGTGGAGGACGCCGACGATCCAGCTGGTGTGAGCTCCACGACTCGATGATCGGCAAAGCAGTGCATGTACTTGTGTGCCATTGTGCAATTGTCGCACAGATTCGCGTTGCAGTCTTGACAGAACGATGTTGCCTGTAATTTCTTCTCAATGCTTATACATTTTCTGACTTTCCCGATTCCCCTACCGTCTCATTAGACTTGCATCCATTGCAATGAACCGCTGGAACCGGAGCAATCACAGGCGCCACGGCGGCATTGTTGTTAAGGAGTCCTTGCATCATGGCGGCGATTTGTGCCTGATGCTGCTCCTCGATCGTAGGCGAATCGCTCAATGGTGGTGATCCAGAGGTGGAGGACGTGGGGGAACTGAATCCGAATCCAACGACAGGGTTGGACGGATCCGAGCCAGCCACCATTGATGGACGGAGGTGGGCGTTGGGGACGGGGATCGCGGCTGATGGTGTTGGGGCGCCTCCGTTTCCATTCTCGGACAGTGCCAGGTTGGCGAACAACTGCTGCTGCTTGTTCATCACCGATTCGAGACCAAAGTCGGTGAGCAGCGAGTCGAGACCGAGTTGTACACTGAAAACAGGGCGAGCTTATAGTTGGAAATTTGAGCCTGGAGACGTGAACTCAGAGCTGCTAGGGCCTGGAGCCTCTAGCCTTGAGCTTTAAGCCTAGCTTGTCGTAGCTCAAAAACTAGCGATTTCATAGCTCAAAAATTGGTGACTTTCTAGCTTGAAAATCGGCGAATTCACAGCTCAAAAATAGACGATTTTTGAGCCACAAGCCTCGAGCTTTAAGCCTAGATTTTCGTGGCTCAAAATTGGCGATTTTTATAGTTCAAAACTCCTTTTTTCCGCTAGAATTTCCAGCTTTCTCACCTCAACTGAGTCTCCATGTTGCACTGCGGGCAGATGATACGTTCCGGCTGCTCAAGATGTTTCGCCAGACAACCCTTGCAAAACGAGTGGAAGCACGCGAGAACCTTCGGATCACGATACGGTTCTAGGCACAGCGTGCACTTGATGATCTGCAAAATGGATATTTTGGAAGTTTAAGATTGACAGAGAGGCGGGAATTCGAAATTTCGCAAATTTGAGGGATCCTTGGCGAGGCAAAGATTTCAGAAAATAGGGAATTCATAGGTATAGTATAACCTTCGGTGACTGTCACAGAAGGGGCGGCCGTTTCGTGTCATCCTCGTCAAAAAAAATGGATGGACAGAAGGTCATTTTTCATGGCGGCAGCGGCACGCGCGCCAAGATTTTTGGCCCAAAAATTGAAATTCTGGGCCTTGTGAGCTTCTAGAATTACACCGAAATTGGGTATCGGGTTGCCAGAATTTCACAGGCATGGAGGTCTCAGTATGGCCAGCATTGAGGTCGAAAAAAGGGCGAAAACCAGCCGTGGGCCCTCTCATGCGTAAATCTTGACCCAGAATTCTCTATACTGTCGTAATGCATAGCTATGTGGAACAGATGGGCGCTTTGGGCAGCAAAAATGTCGCAGATGGTACTCCAGCGAAAAAGTGACAGGTCCTAATAGTACAGTACGGTGGTGGTGGTGACAGGGGAGAGGAGACGGAGGAGGCGGAGGGAAGAGTAATTGGCGATAAAAAAGAAAGAAGACACTATGGGGAGAAGAACAGTGCGATGTGAAAAAGTACTGTATGCCTGTGCCACGTCTCCTTATCATAGAGAGAATGGGAGAATAACAATTTTGAGATAGGAGGAATGGCGCCATGTTCCTCCTCTAGCTGTTATCAGTAGCAGCTATGTGGTCGTTTCCAATTTTTCTAGGAGCCAATAAAAGCTTCTAGAGGAAAGAATCTACCAAGAGCAAGAGATATAGCTAGTTTAAGCTAGCTAAATCTAGCCAGAGCAAGCTAGAGCTAGCTATAACTAGTTAACGCTAGCTGGAGCTTAGTTAGAGCTAGTTCTAGCTAGCTAGAGCCAAGCCAGAGCTGGCTGGAGCTATCTCGAGCTATCTAGAACCTTCTAGACCTAGCTAGAACCATCTAGAACCAGCTTAGACCTAGCTAAAGCTAGCTAAACTTTCTAGGAGCTTGTAGAGCTAGATTACACTAGCTAGGACAATCTAGAACTAGTTATAGCCATAGCTAAACCTAGCTAGAGATGTCTAGAGCTATACAGACTAGAGTTATCTAGAGCTGGCTAAACCTAGCTAGCTGGATCTAGTTAAAGCTAGTTAGAACAATTTAGAGCTAGTTAGAGCTATCCGGAGCTGTCCAGGGCTATCCAAAGCTAGCTAGACCCTATCTAGACCTAGCTAGAACCTCCTAGAACCAAAATTAGACATATAGCAATGTCCATAATGAGGAGAGAATGCCAGAAGGAGGCGGAGCCTATCTATCCCTATCCTAATAAAGAGATAGCAGGTGGTTCGGTACCATCTGCTCGGATCGAATCGGATCGTAAAGAAGAGGTATATGTGAACACGTGTCACACTAGACGAATAAGAATTTTTATTGAAACGAAGCGAAACGAATCGGACGGGACAGCGATGAGAAATTGTCCGAGAGCGTCGGTGGGCTTTTAGGAGAGAACAGAGAGGAGGAAAGATGAGTCTCTCTCTCCCACACACACACAAGAACTAGGCGGTCTCGGGGAGCGTGTGGTTGGGGAGAGGACGGGACGAAACATTGGCTGTAGAGTGAAAAGCGTCGGGGGCGAGAGAGAGCGAGAGAGATGAGAGAAATAGATAGACACACAACGGACTGGTACTATTTTCCTATTTTCCCTCACTGTGTCTTTTCTCTCTCTCTGTTTGGCGAGAAACAGAACGGACGGCACCAAAGCATCCGGAATATGGAATTCCTGCGACTCTAAATAGCCAAGACTCCTGGTCCCTTGGTCTAAGAGGCGGGCGCCAAGGTTCCCGAGACTGGCAGTGCCAGCGGCGCCCAAAAAAAACGACGACAGCCGGCCAGCCGAGGCCAATGTACCCAAAATTTATGGCCAATTGGAAAAGGGATCCGATGTCTAGACCAATGGGTGATGAAATCGAAGAAAACGAACACCCTGTGCGCCGCGCAAAAAAAATGGGAAATCTCGTGGGGAGCGAGCGAGCGCCTAGACTCTCTTTGTGGGCGGAGTTTGGTCGCCGCGGGAGGAAAGTGCTTGGCGATCAGAGATCAAGAGATGGAGAAGAAGCTTCGAGAATTTCCGATTAGTAGGGCTCTTCTATAAGAAGACGTGGCTGAAAAAGAGCCTTCTAGGCCATTCTGAAGCCTTCAATTGGTCTAAATTCGGTTCTAGGAGGTCTAGAGCACTTGGAATCATCAGAAAATGGTTTTTCTGAGTTTCAAGCTGAATTGGCCCAAAATAGGTTCTAGATAGCCTATTTTGCTCCAAATGTGCTCATTTTGAACACCGGCTTATCCAATGACCTTCAGACTGGTCTAAAATCGGTTCTAGAAGGTCTAGAGCAGCGGAATTTAGAGGCCTAGGACTCGGTGTTCCGAAATCATCATGAAAGCCTATTTTTCAAAAATTCGAAAAAGCCAAATTGACCTAAAATCGGTTCTAGAAGGCTCTAAATCGATTTTAGATCGTCTAGAGCACTTGGAATCATCAGAAATTGGTCTTTTTTGAAATTTCAAAAAAGACCAATCGGAATCCTCAGAAAATGCATTTTTCAAAAATTCGAAAAAAAAATCTTCTGGAAGATTTTGAGCCAAACTAGCCTAAAATCGGTTCTAGGAGGTCTAGAGCAACGGAATTTGGAGTTCTAGGACCCCCAATTTGACTCATTTTCGACCTTCACAAGCCTCTTTTTCGATGACGACCGATTGGCAAGAAGAAGAAGAAAATTTCACGTTTTTTGCCACGTCATCTCTTCCTCTCACTATCTCGTAACACACACACACATATAAAACTGCCGATGTACGTGTGTTCGCTGCGAGGAAACGACGAGAGATTGGGCGCCGTGTGAGAGACGCAGACACGAAACGAACTGCAAACGTTGTGTTGGAAGGGGAAGCGGGCGCGAGAAGAAATGCGGGAAAAAAAGAGGGAAAGAAACTTCGAGATGAGAGGAAATTTGGAAAATTTTAGGCCAACGGACCAAAAGGAATATGGGGCGAATTCTTGTTTGTATTCCCATATGACTATTTCTGTGTGTATATATATGCATATTTACGATTTCCGTGCGCGGAAAGCAATCACAAACAAGTGGGTGTGACACCCGGAAAGGCGGGGAAAAATTAGAAAAAATCGAAAAAAAAATTTTTTTTCGTCAAACAATTTTTCTTACCTCCTGAATGACTGGTGGTGGTGTCGGTGCCAAGCCAAATGAGCCGGCTAGCATCGGCTGCGACACGGCTGAAAAAAATGAGTAACATTTCCAGAAAAATGAAAAAATTTTAGGCTAAAAAACAATTAAAAACAAGGAATTTCGTGGATTTCGAGCTAAAAATGCGCGGGGGGTGTTGGGTATTGGGGTACGAGGCGACACCGAGTCCTACGACAAAATGCAGAATTTGGGTCAGATGTGTTGGAATTTTCGGGAATTCGATTTTCAGATGAAATTTTCAGATTTTGGGAAGAAAGATTGCATTTTTGGTTGGAAAAAATTGGAAAAATTAAATAAAAAACAACTTTTAACCTAAAAAATCGAAAAATATTTTTTTTTCAAAAAAAAACCTTTCATCAGATGACGAACGAAAATCTTTTGAAGGCGTTGAACGCGCTGAAGGATTACATCATATGTTGGTGTCATGATAATACAATTTTTCTAGACTTTTAGATGACTAAAATTTGAGCTAAAATCGATTTTTTTTAGATTTTGACACGTATTTCTATGACGCGCTACGCAAAATGATGACATAAATTCAGGAAAAAAGGCGCCAACCTAAATTAATTTTTCGAAAAAAAACATTTTTTTGGCGCCAAAATTTAAAAATTCAAATTCCTTTAAAAAAGGCGACAAACCTGATCCCCAAGAGTTTGGAATCGCGACGCCGGCGAACGTCGAGAGTGGAATCGGACGTCCGGCGGTGCCGAAAATCTGCGACATGGTGTACTCGTCGCTGCCGGCCGTCGTCGTCGTCGACGCGCTGCTCCCACCCAGAGACTCCGATTCGCTCATTTCACGTTCTCTGAAATCTCGAAAAATCTTGAATTTTTAGAATTTTTGGGGTCAGAAAATGTAGAATTGAAGTTTAAAAAAATGATTTTTTTTTGGGTCAAAAAACGTATAATTTGAGGAAAATAGCAGTAAAAATAATTGCATCCACGCGCCACTGACCATAAATGTGCCACTGGCCGTATTAAAAAAGTTGAATGGGGAAAGGGAAAAAAAATCGGTCGAGTGTGATCTAGAAAATCAAAAATCCTTGGGGAAAAATTGTTTATTTACAAAAGTTCTAAACAAATTCCGCATCCCTGACCAGCACGAATGGAGAGAGGGGCCAAAACTAAATAAACAATATATATATATATATATATATATATCTATTCTGGGTCTTAAGCCCCTAGGGACCAGCGATTTTTATCGATTTTTGAGTTCTCAAAATTTGCCTCCCCTCTCTTCAAAAATTTTGAAAAGCGGCGCCCTTCTTGTACGCCATTCACCCTTTCTCTCATTTCGGCGCTCGTGGCGCAGGCGGGTGCGGCGCAGCCTTTCCTGCGAGGTCCGGAGTTCGAATTTTGCTCTGGCTAAAAGTTTTTGCTTTCTTTTTTAGCGAATTGAAGGGATTCTAGAGGCAATTTATGATGGTCAAACTAGAAATTTTGATTTTCAGTCTTAAAATTTTGAGAAAATTAGCTAAAACGACAAAAATCGCTAAAATTCAATTTTTTTGGGTTACTGTATCTTTCGTTTTTTTTTCTGGTAATTTTGAAAAAAAAACCCCCAAATTATCTGTTCAAAGTCTTTAACTTTGATTTTTAAAAATTTCTGAATTTTTGATCATCTCGCTTCCTCTCAAAATCCCAATTATATAGTTCCACACGAGTTCTAAACTAATTGTTCAGTGGAGCGCGTTTACACCTGCGCGTGCCCTTAAGAGCTCATGACCTCATTAAAATTGATACACTCGGGTTATCATTTAGGTCACTTGGTTGATGTGTGGTATATATACATACTCCTCCAACCTATAGCTCCTAGCCCTCTAGCTCCTAGCCCTTTGAGCTCAGATATATGGGTTACCGTAAGAGATATCAAAATTTTGTCAACTGATACAATATTGCTGATATTATGGCAAACATTTCATCAATTGAACACTTTTTGATTTCTCCTACAGTAACCTAGATAATTGAGCTCAAATGAAGAGTTTAGACTTTGCACAAGGTTACCTTTTACTTCAAGCTCAATTATCTCAGTTACTGTAACAGATATCAAAAAGTGGTCAACTAATAAAATGTTTGGCATAAAATGCTTAACATTTTATCAGTCGACCACTTTTTGATATCTGTTACAGTAACCCAGATAATTGAGCTCGAAGTGAAAGTACAAAAAAGGACGTTCTAATAGTACATTTAGTGTATGACTAACTGCTAGTTGTACCACTCATGGTACCATGGGTGACGTGGCAGGTGGAAATGGAAAAAGTGGAGACAATAGGAAGAAGAAGGAGGAAATGAGTCAGAAAGAGACAGTTTGTGTGTAGTATGGTATGGGTTGGAGCCTAGAGCTTTAACCCTAGAGGCGTCATTGATTTTGAGCTCAATTATCTTGATTACTGTAACAGATATTGAAAAATTATCAACTGATAAATTGTTTATTGTGTTATGGGCTACATTTTATCAGTAGACACTTTTTTGATATCTCTTACAGGAAGCTAGATAAATAACCTCAAAGTGTAAGGCGCCTTGGGCAGAAGGCTTAGCTTTCTAGCTCCTAGCTTTGAGCTTATCTATCTCGGCTCCTGTAAAAGCTATCAAAAACCTGTCAATTAATAAAATGTTTAATATTTTATGAGCTATATTTTATTAGTTGACCACTTTTTGATATCTCTTACAGTAACCGAGATATTCGCGCTTCAAGTTTACGGCACCGTTGGCATAAGACCTAGCCTATCACATCAAAACAAGATCTACCGTAATCCTTATCAAAGCCTCTAACATGGCAATTAGAATTCTAAGAAGTACATATTCCAAGTAGTGCAAAAAGGGACCCCAAAAGAAGGGGGTCCCCAGAAGAATAGGGTGAAGGCTGAGCAATGGAAAAAGAGAGAGTGCTACGACTACTAGTGTCCAAAATGGATAAGCTCGTGTCTTCAGAAGGCGTGGTGTGCAAAGAGAGAGAGAGAGAGGGTGAAGGAGCAGTGAAAGAATGATAGAATATTCGAGAAGCCTCCCCGAGAGAAATAGTATATAGATACGAGGAGACGCAGAGAAACAAGGGAAGAAAGGGGTTTGGAACACCCGAAGAAGTGTGTCTTGTGAGTGAGAAAAGAGTGTCGTGAAAAGAGACATTTAAGCTCCGCCCACTTTTTTCTCTAATAATGAAAAGAAGAAAAAGAAGAAGTGAGAATGGGGGGGGGGGGGGGGCGGCGACCGAGGTACAGTAGTCCCTGTCAAAATAGTAAATGGGAAACTACGATTTTTATTGGAAACCAAAGTTTTTTGATTTTTCAGATTTTCTCCAAAAATCAAACATTTTGAAAAATCGGGAAACCAAAAATTCTGGGTTTTCAGTCAAAAATTCAGAAATTCAGAAATTCAGAAATTCGGAAATTCGGAAATTCAGAAATTCAGAAATTCAGAAATTCAGAAATTCAGAAATTCAGAAATTCAGAATTTCATAAATTCAGAAATTCAGAAATTCAGAAATACAGAAATTCTGAAATTCTGAAATTCTGAAATTCAGAAATTCAGAAATTCAGAAATTCAGAAATTCAGAAATTCAGAATTTCAGAAATTCAGAAATTCAGAAATTCGGAAATTCAGATATTCAGAAATTCAGAAATTCAGAAATTCAGAAATTCAGAAATTCAGAAATTCAGAAATTCAGAAATTCAGAAATTCAGAAATTCAGAAATCGGAAATTTTAAAAAATCGGCAAATCACAAAATTCTAGATTTCTGAAAATTGAAATTTCCTAGTTCCCAAAAATAGAACATTTCAAATTGTAGAATATTTGGACAAAATTTGGACAGCCTGAAGATCCTGAAAATTTGATTTTTTCCAAAAATGCGGAAAAATTGAAATTTTCAGATTTTCAGATTTCAGAAAAAATTGAAAATTTGGAGGAAAATTGGATTTTTAAAAAATTTTAGAAAAATAGAAAAATGAATTTTCAGAGTTTTCTGTCAAAAATCAATAATAAAAAAGAACTAGAAATTGTGAAAACTTGAAAAAATGGAAATTTTAAAAATTCTAGGCTTCTAAAAATCGATATTTTAATTTTCAGATTTTTCGAGAAATTCGAAATTGGAGAATTTGAAAAATAGGAATTCAAAAAATTGTGGAATTCTTCAAAATTTTCTAAAAATCGAAAGTTTTTGAAAATTCTGGTTTTTCAGGTAAAAATAGAAAATCGAACATTCTTTAAAACTTCTATGGGTCTGTTTGTCCGGATGTCCCCCATATTCTAACCGGTTTCTATCGCTATTTTCTAGATCCATTGAAGCTAACGAGGCCGTGTCGTTATTTTTTTTTTTACATGATATGTATATTTTGGCAGCCACCACCACCACCACTAACAGACGTCTCTCCGTGGCATTATCCTCTTTTCTAGACGACGTCGCTGTACAACAACTACTTTGTCGTCGTCGTCGACGTCGTCAAAACAACGTGTCTAATAGAAAAAGGAGAATTTCAGAGAGAGAGAGAGAGGGAGATGTCTCTCACTGAAAAAACAAGTCGAAGCTTCTAAAAACAAAAACAAAAACAAGAAAAAGGGATTTCGACCACGGCAGGATTCGAACCTACAATCTTCTGCTCCGTAGGCGACGCGTTATCCATTGCGCCACGCGGCCACGTTTGACCCTGGAGGCAGAGGGCGTATAGGAGGGAGTGGCGGCGGGGGGAGGCGAGGGAGGAGAAGGGGGAGGGAGAGGGAAATGTTGCCATGTGTTATTGAGTTTTTTGGCACAAAATTTGGAAAAAGGAAAAGAAACCAAAAATTTTTGAATTTTCAAGGGGAAAAAGGAATAGAAACCTAGGTAAACTTAAAGGGATCATATTACAGAAGAGGGTTTCTCAAATAACAACACAAAAAATCGAAATCACTGGGACACGAATGAAAAGAAAAGAGAACAAATGTTTTAAAAGAGAGAGATGTAATAATCTTTGATGTCTCCATCAAAGCCATTTCCTCCTTCTCTTCGAAAAGCCGCCCCATCGATTATCTTTTCGAATCTTTTTTCCGCTTCTTCGGATTTCGATTAGGCCCCCCCTAGGCCTGGCCGTTCATTAAAAGTCACGCGGTTCGGATAACTGGTATTATTCGAAATGGACTATGATGGTCAAAACAACTCTAGACCCCTCTAAAAGTCCTTAAAAACAAAAACAAAAACTACTAAGCGAAGGAAAAATCGAACCCATGACCTCTCGCACGAGAGGTCGCGCTGCACCCAGCTGCGCCACAGCCGACACAAGGAAGCAAGAAGGTGAATGGCATACAAGAGGGTGGCGCTTTTCAACCTTTTTGAGGGGTGGTGGAAAGGTGCGAGGCGAATTTTCAAGAACAAAAAAATCTTAAAACTGCAAAACTGCTGTAACAGATATATGTGGGTCCCTGCCTCTCCGCCTTCTGTTGTTGTTGTTTACACCGCCTATGTTTCTTTTCTCCCTCTCATTTTCCCACACTCTCTCGTCAGTGAACACACTGAAAAAAAAACCAAAAACCGATTGCCTCCTTGAAAACTAAAACTCGTTCTTCTTTTCTTCTTTTTCTTCTTCTCTCTCATAGTCCTTCGAAACTACTAGTACTGAAACTGAAAAGGAGTTCGCGCGAGGCGAGTTCTCTGCGTCTCTCGCTCTCTCTCGCCGTGTAATTTGCAATATACGGGCGGGACACACAGGAAACTAGTACGAAATTCAAATTGCCCCCCGTTTCGTGTTGTTGCTCTGGATGTTTTGATGGAGAAAATCTATAGGAAGGGGTCGACAAGAAGCTAGAGAGTCACGCTTCTCTGGGTCTCCTTCAAAACGCTGTATCTCAAAAACTAAGCAAGCTATCAAAAAAGTTCCAACTGGAAAGTTGTTTTAAATGTTATAAGCTACATTTTGATAGTTAACAACTTTTTGATAGCTCCTCTGGTTTTAGAGATATGCATCTTTAAAGATAGTGCGTCTCTCCGCCTAGTTTACAGGCGCCGATCGTGCGTATTTGAAATTAAGAACAAAAACTAAGAAGACACTGGTGAATCGCGCAGAACACTATATGGGCGCATTGTGGCCCTTACTGTGAATGTGCGCATATAGCGTTCGTTATGCCCGCTATATGGGTTGGTGGTTGCTGGTCNGTGGTGGTGGGCGTTTTGTTAAAGGTGGGGGGACAGGAGATTTTTCGTAGTTTTTTTGTAGCTAGAGTATGCATTCTACCGTGACGGTGTACAACGCTTAATGTCACTCTGCGTACAGATGTCGTCCTCGCCTTTATGTATGCAATCGGGCGTGCGCTTTCTCTTTGCCCGCGTGGCTCAGTCGGTAGCGGCGCCGCACCCTCAATCATCGCCCTCACAAGTTCAACTCCTTGAGGGGCATCTTTGAACGGAATTTCGAGAACATTATTTTTTTCATGTCTCCCCACCTTTAACAGGGAAAGCTTATGCCCCTTCCGTGCTCGCATATAGGATCCATATTCCGTAAACACTCTTATACAATGTCTCTCCGAACCGTTAGCTTTGAACCTATATATCTGGTTTCTTATAAAAGATATCAGAAAGTGGTCAACTGACAAAATGTGTATTATGATATCAAAAGCATTTTGTCAGTTAACAACTTTTCAATATCTTTCACGGGAACCCAGATAAACTGGCTCAAAGTTGAAAGTTACGACGCTCCGATATCCCGCATCGCGCGTTGTTTACCGTAAATCTACACACAGATTTTCGATAAATTTGCAGATATTTTTGCCTATTTTTGTTCGATTTTGTTTGATTTTATACGATTTCATCGGTTATTTTTCTACTGTTTTTACTTGCAAACTCATTTTCATCGTTTCGGCTGAAATCTTCAACGTCTGCACTGGCCACACGACAAGTGAAAGAAGCAGCACCGACAGAAAAAACGAAAAGGTTAGTGAATTTTGTGGTTGAAATGCTCGAAAATGTTTAGAAAAATAAAAACCTGCGAATTTTTTTTTGACTGAAGTTGCAATGAACATTCTACTCTTGTGGCTACAGTCGGCTACAGTGACTTCAGTCTTTCGGAGCTTTTGAAACATTATGATGAAAAACGAGCCAAAATCTGCTAGAGATACCGCTTCACACGAAATTCAGCGCTCTCCATAAATTTATAGGATTTGCACAAGCAGATTCGTTTTCTAAGTACTAGACTTAACAAATTTTCGGTGTGAATAAGTAAAATTATCGAAAATGTTCTAAGTCTTTTCAGTTTTTCAGAAAAAAAAACAACCAAGATCAACTTCTCGATTGGATGGTCGTCTGATGGACGCAAAGAGGGAGAAAGGCAACGAAAAGATGGAGTTCAGCGAGCCAGGAGGCAAAAAAATGTTTAATTTTTTCGCTTTTTCTTTTCTTTTTATGTTTTTTTTCTCTTATTTTTTTTTGTCATTTTATTTTTATTTTCAATGAATTTGTATTGGTGAACTCTATTTTCAGTTTACAGAGAATATTAGGACCTGGGGAGGGGAGGAACTGCTGCTCGGCGGCGTGGATCCTATATGCTTTGGTCGGCGCATGGATCCTATATGCTCGCACAATGCGCCCACATATGTTTCGTATTTCGAGCATATACAACACCGCGCGATCCCATATAACGTTCCTCGCGATCCACCTGTGGACATTGTCGAATGTTCAGGAAACACAAGAATGAAAACTTCTTCCTTTTTTTCTTCTTTTTTCCCTTATTTACGCCTCGGGAATACAGAAAAAAGAAGAAGCCCTTCAGATGACATCAGATGACGTTGGGGAGCGGGTCCCAGTTGGTAAACATGTTGGTTCTTGGTACCTTGGATGATATAATATGCATAGGCTAAAGAGTATTTCGCACTACGAATTCCAGAGATGCTAGACACTCTAGCTTCTCTGGACCTCCTTGTGTGCGCTATCTCTTGCTGAGTTACGAAGTGTGTCAAGTTCAAAGGCGCATACCTCAAAAACTAAAATGGCTATCAAAAAACGATTAACTACAAAAATATAGATCATTAGAAGTTACATATTTATTTAGTTTATCAATTCAAAAACGCTTTACTGGTTTTTAAGTTATGCGCCTTTAAAGTTGATACGCTCCCAAAGCCCGGCTAACAGCTCCTTGAAAACCTCTGCTAACTTTAAAGGCGCATATCTCAAGTTGTAGTAAAGCTATCAAAAAATTGATAACTAACAAAATGTAGAATGTTAAATTTTACATATTTAATTAATAAATCATTTTCAGATTGTTTCATTAGTTCTTGAGTTATGCGTCTTTAAAGTTGACACACATGGCTAAGGGCAAGGGATGTGCGCCTAGGTGGGTGTCCTAACTTTAAAGGCGCATATCTCAAGAACGGCTGAAGCTATTAAGCATTTGTCAACGTCAATAATGTAGAACATTAAAAGTTATATATTTGTATAATTATTACGTTTTGATAGCTCAATTAGTTCTTGAGTTATGTGCCTTTAAAACTGACACACACCTAGAGCCGAGGGGGATGCACCTTGAAGAGTGTTCCTAACTTTAAAGGCGCATATCTCAAAAACGGCTGAAGCTACCAAAATTTTGTTAACTAGAAAAATATTGAGCATTCTATTTTACATATTTTTCTAATTGACTACTTTTTGATAGCTCAATTAGTTCTTGAGTTATGCGCCTTTAAAGTTGACAGGTGTCTTGAAGTACATACGCTCCGAATTTTAAAGGCGCATACCTCAGGATCTAGTAAAGCTATCAAAATTGTGTCAACTAACAAAATATAGAAAAATTTGTCCTTTTTAATTTCCCAATTTCCGATTTTTGACTTGTTCGCGTCAGAGAAGGGAAAAGTGGTGTCACAAAACCCAAAACGTGATAACCGAATTTTCGTTCAGAAAAAACCCCCGACCTTTCACTTCCTGGTATTATCTAGAAAGTAAAAAGAATACAAAAATTGGGTTTTTTTTTTCTTTTCTAGTCGTTAACTCTTTGATGTGAAAAGAGAGAGAGAGAGAGAGAGAGAGAGAGAGAGAGAGAGAGAGAGAGAAAATTCGTCTACAATGTATGATATTTTCCCCTATTTTTCTGCCCATCCCATGAATTTTTTTCTCATTTTTCTGCCATCCCATCACAACGAAAACGTGCCGATTCTCAAAAATTCTCCTCCGTTCAGTTTTTTTTTTCTTTTTCTGTCATCTTCTGCCATTGGCAGAAGAAGAAGAAGAAGAAGAGAAACCAGAAAAAAAACCATCGGCAAAAGAAAACTGGTTCTCCGATTTTCCACTCTTCGTGTATCCAGGAAGAGAGGGATCAACAATCGCGCTCTATTGAGAAAAGCTGAAATTTGAGAAAACTGAACGTTTGCTCCTCACTCGATGATGTGGCACACATAAAGATTGACAAATATGAAACCAAAACTAAAAGTGTATAGTTTTTATTTGACAAACACATTATAGAACGCCTTAAAAGCCCATAAAAAGAAGCCAAAAAAGTTTTAGCCCAAGCAAAACTCGAACCCCTAACCTCTCACACGACAGTCGGCGCTGCACCCGCCTGCGCCACGAGCGACACAGAGGTAGGTGGTGGTGAATGGCGTATACAAGAGGGCCCCGCTTCACAACATTTTTGAGAGTTGTGGGACACCACTGGTGGCAATGTTAGGTTCACTTGATTTTTGGTAAAGTTTCAGGCCTAGGCTCACAACTTAGTTCATTTTGATCCAAATCGAACAAAATTAAACTTTTTGAGCTTGGCAAGTATAGAGCTTTAAAATGAGCATAAACACGACTATAATTGGGGAAAATTGATTTTCCGACTTTTTCAAACCGAAAGCGTTGTGGGGTTGTAATTCAGCCCATTTTGGTCCAAATCACATGAAATTTAATTTTTTGAGTTTCGCAAATCAAGAGCTTTAAAATGAGTATAAAAATTGACTATAATTAAGAGAAAGTGATGTTTAGTCTTTTTTTTTACCTTCATACGTTTAGGCCTATAACTCAGTCCGTTCTCGTCCAAATTGGATAGTAATACTTTTTTTGAATTTTGCTAATTTGGAGTTTCAAAATGAGTATAAACAAGGCTATGTTTGGGCCAAGTTGATTTTTTATCCTTTTCCAGGATTGGGGTCATAACTCGGCTCATTTTGGTCCAAATCGAACAAAACTAATTGTTTTGAATTTAACAAGACACGAGCTTCAAAATGAGTATAAACAAGACTGAAATTGGGAAAATCAATTTTTGGACCATTTTCAGTCTTGGCCCATTAGGTCCATCGGAAAAGCTGAAAACTCACATTTTCCAGATTCTGGAGTCCAAAAGCTAGACTCAATAAGTACAGAAGTATTAAGTAGATCAAAAATCGCGGTTGACTTTTTCCGATTCTCAACGACACTCCAGTCACCGACTAACTATGCGATTTGTGTTTTCTGGCATTTTCAAAAGAGACAGAGAGACAGAGAAAATGCAGCAAAAAAAAAAGAACGGGCGGTTTTGAGAGGAGGGAATGGCAAACAAAAATGAAGAGAAAAGACAGTTCTTTTCAATGGTCGAAACCCCGATTCCCATTCCCCAACAAAATTTTTGTATGGAACGGGAACGGTGGAGAGTCTCTGTCGTCATCAATGGGTATCCGTATAACGCGCACTTCTCAAAAAACTAAAAAAGCTATCAAAAATTTGCAAACTATACAAATGTAGAGCGTAAAATTTTATACATTTCGTTAGTTGACAAAATTTTAGAAGCTTTTATGGTTTTTGAGATATGCGCCTTTAAAGTTGGCGGACCTAATTTTAAGAGGAGAAGCACCAAAATGCGTATATCTCGAAAACCGATTACGTTATCAAAAATCTGTCAACTGTTAAAATGTGTAAAATTTAATGTTCTACATTTATCTGCAATTTTTTTGTTTATAGCTTGAGCCGTACTTGAGATATGCGCTTTTAAAGTTAGGAGGGGTGATTTACCCTCGGTAAGATGGCGTATCAACTTTAAAGGCGCATATCTCTAAAACGGGTAAAGTTATCAAAAAGTTGTTAACAGCAGAAATATGAAAAATAACATTTCACACAATTTACTAATTAACAATTTTGTCCAATCTTCCTTAGTTCTAGAGTTATGCAATATTAAAGCTCAGCGACCGATGGTCCCCTCCCTATTTTTAAAGACGCATAACTCTAGAACTAATAGAGCTAATAAAAAATTGCTAATTACAAAAATGTAAAACATAAAATTATACACATATATCAATTTGAAATTTTGCAGTATCTTTTTTTGTTCTTGAGATATGCGCTTTTAAATCTTCATGTGGCACTTACGCCCTTTTGCTTTAAAGGCAATCTTTAAAGGCGCATATCTCAAAAACCATAAGAGCTTCTGAAATTTAAAAAATAATAAAATGTGTAAAATTTTATAAGCTACATTTTTGTAATTTACAATTTTTTGATAGCTACTTTGGTTTTTGAGATATGCGCCTTTAAAGTTGGCGTGCCTAGTATTGAAGAGGAAGAATGATAACCTCTCGATTTTTGGCCTCATCAGAAGCCCTATTCATACTTAATTTTTATCAATAAAAAACTCTCAATAAGGATTTCTCATGCATTTTAAAAATGATACACAAATTGCTCATCTTCTCCACAAAAAATCCACCAAACTAGACTCTTCGTTAGCTTCGAATCGGGCCAGAGAGGCCAGAAGCCTTGTCTGACACTCTCTCACTTTCCCGTCCTCTCTCGGAGCCAGGAGCCAGTGGAGAAATGGGGGCGAATGCATGGAGCACACGGAGCAACAAAAAAAGTGACCCCTCGAAGAGAGAAAAGAGGCAGAAAAGTCATGTGACTGACCAGGGATCGGCTTGACAAAAAAAAGACGGGCGGCTCGCTTTTTTTTGGGTCTTGAGGTGAGAAATTCATGTGAAATTCACAAAAAATTATAAAAGTCCAAAAAAATCCACTTTCAGACTATTTCGACCACCCATACAGGATTTTTTGAGTCAATAGAAAGCGGAAAAATCGGGAATCAAACGGTGTTTGTCAAGGAAATTTTCGAAAATAATAGATTTTTAGGTGATAAGAAGGAATAAAGTTCGTTATCAGAAAAGTTTCTCAACATTTTGACAGGTTCATATTCGAATGCTGGATTACTGTAGAAAAATGGAAAAGAGGTGGAGCTTCATGGAGAAGGTCTGAGTCTCAAATTTAAATGCGCATAACTCAAAAACGATAAAAGCTATCAAGAACTTGTCAACTACAACATTGTAGAGCATTAAATTTTACATATTTTTGTAGTTAAAAATTTTATAATAGCTCATCTAGTTTTTGAGTTATGCGCCTTTAAATTTAAGGCGCGCCTGAGCCGGCGATGAGGTGGCGGCGGCTGCCGCCGCAAGCTTCCTAAAGAAGCGTGCCAACTTTAAAGGCCCATATCTCACAGATAGTAACAGCTATCAAAGAATTGTCAACTACAGAAATGTAAAAAATCAAATTTTACATACTTTCATATTTGACAATTTTTGATAGCATCCTTTGTTTCAGAGTTGTGCGCCTTTAAAGTTGATGCGCGCCAAATACGGAGGGACCTTGAAGGAGTGTTCTAACTGAAAACGCTTGTATCTCAAAAACGGTAAAAGCTATCGAAAAATTGTCAGCTACAAATATTTAAAGCGTAAAATTTAACACATTTATGTGCTTTACTATTTTAGATAGCTTTTCTAGTTTTTCAGTTATGCGCCTTTAAAGTTGACGCGCGCATGAGCAGCGGGGAGTGGCGGCTGCAAAAAGCGTTCTAACAGAAAACGCTCATATCTCAAAAACAGTGGGAGCTATCAAAAAGATGTCAACTGAACAATTGTAAAGCAATTAATTTCACACATTTCTGTAGTTTTTGATTTTTAGATATTTTTGTTGGTTATTGAGATTTGCGCCTTTAAAGTTGATGCGCCCCAAAGACGGGGGAGAGGCGCTTTGGGAGGGACCTTGACTGAAAACGCTCGTATCTCAAAAACGGTAAAAGCTATCAAAAAATTGCTAACTACAAGAATGTAAAACGTAACATTTAACACATTTTTGTCCTTTACTACTTTTAGATAGCTTTTCTAGTTTTAGAGATATGCGCCTTTAAAGTTTACGCGCGCCTCAGCCGTCGGCAGCTGCGGCCACAGGCAACTTAAGGAAGCGTGCCAACTTTAAAAGCGCATATCTCAGAAACGGTTAGAACTATCAAGAAAGTGTCAATTACAAAAATGTAGAACATAAAAGTTTACATTTTTTGTAATTTATCACTTTTTTGTAGCTTCGCTAATTTTTGAGATATGATCCTTTAAAGTTGGGGTGCTTCTCCCGCTGGCGCGTCAGCTTTAAAGGCGCATATCTCAAAACCTGAAAAAGCTAGATAAAAGTGTTAAAATACAAAAATGTGTAAAATTGAACGGTCTACATTTTTTCAGTAAGTAACTTTTTGATAACTCTTCTAGATTTTGAGTTATGCGCCTTTAAAGTAAAAAGGCGCATTAACCTTCGTGAAGGGTATCCCAAGCTTATCAATAGAGCGAATTTGTAAAAATCAAAATTTCCAAAAAAAACTAACCTGCGTATATCTAGATATGGAATCATCGTTGCTTCTGGATTGGAGATTCAGCAGGCTTCTGGAACCAAAATTTAAAATTTTTGCAAAAAAAAAATCCTGTCGAAGCAAAAAAAAGTTCGATGGTGGCGATGTGTGTCACATCACAAAAAGTCAAGTGACACAGAAAAAAACGAGAGAGTGGGGAATTTGAGAGATTTAGAGAAAGAAAATGTTTAGTGTGCAAATCAAATACAGTGGAGGAAGAAAGGAGAACTTTGATTCCTAATATTTTGTATTTTTCGTACAAAAAATTTATAGAAGAGATTGCTCATGCTTAAATTTGAATCAGTCATTGTTAAAATTGTGAACTACAGTACCTGGAATTATGAAAAAGTTTCAATTGGGGAAAAAAGTTCTAGAAGGTCCAATTTTTCAAAAAAAGTTTTTGTTTCAAAAAACGTCCTGAAAACCCTATCAAGGTTTCATAGAAACTGAATAGCGATGGCGACACACATTCTCCTCACTCTATCTTCTTTTTTTCCCCTCTGCCACAAACAACAACGAAATAGTGTGATGAGTGACAGAGAAAAGATGGGCGGTATTTATTGAGTGAGTGCGGGAAGAAGAGGAAGACGGGCGGTCACTTTTTTTGAGCGACCGATGATCAAAAGAAAGCAATTTTACAATACTACAAGCGCAGAAAAACAAAACAAAAAGGAAATAGGCGGGGAGTCGAACCCGGGAGGCTCTCCACCGGTGGGGTTCAAAAGCAGGCTCGTTAGCTAGTCGGCCACGCGTGCAACTCTTTACAAAGGGGCGGAAGGCGGATATGAATGTGTGGCGCGCGGAAAGAAATCGGAGAGGGAGGAGGAGGAAAATCTGGAAAATAGGAATATTCGAATTTGAACAAAAACAGAAAAACCTTATTTATATCATAAATTATATTAAAAATATATATTAAAAATGGTCAGAAAAGGGTTGTTTTTCAATGAAAAAAAAAAGGAGAATCTGGAAAAAAATCGAAAAACTACAAAACTTCAGAAATTTAGAAATTCCGAAATTCCAGAATTCCGAAAATTTTGAAAAATAGAAGTTCAGAAATTCAGAAGTTTTGAAATTCTAAAAATTTGTTTTTTGTTTCGTAAGAATTTCAAGTTCTCATAGATTTTCCAGTTTTTCAAAAACAACGTTTTCCTTATTTTTTGTGTAATTTTCTTGTTTTTTTCTTTTTCCCAATTTTTCACTTTTTCTACCCGAAAATCTAGTTCAAAACCCGTCCAAACTCCAAAAGTCTCCTTTTCCCCTCCGAGCCTTCAAAATTCAAATCTCCCTCGCTTTTTCTTGTCCAACAGAGCGCGCTTGCAATCTCTGCTGCAAGTCATGCATTATTTTCGACAACTCTGTTCTACACAATTTCCGACTTATTTTTCGACTGAAAATCGATAAAATCGACAATTTCAGACTCCAATGGCGGCGCCTTTGTTGGGCAGTCATGAAGGTAGGCGGCATATTTATTGGTTTTTTGGAAAAATGTTTTCAGCTCTGGACATAGAAAAAATAATTTAAATACATAGAAAAGTGGAAAAGGATGATGAAATATATGAAACAAACACTAAAAAATTCAGAAAATCACAAAAAAATCAGTTTTAAAATCAAAATTCTTCAATTTTGATCAATTTTCTGTAAAAAGAAGCTTCCAGGCGTCTCTTGCGACGGATGTAGCATCACGGCGTTTGTCGGAAACCGCTACAAATGCCTTCGATGCGGTGACTACGATTTATGCTTCTCGTGCTACACAACTAAGAATTTTGGGGACCAGACGGCGGCACTGGACTCTTTGCCCCATGATGAGACGCATCCCATGCAGTTGATAATGACAGCGAGCGATTTTGGTGAGGAATTTAGCATTGAGACCTTAAAATTCAAATTTCCCGCCAAATTTCACCCTAGAGCCTTCTAGAAGCAGTATAAAATGTATTTTTAAGCTGAACACTTGATTTTTTTCATTTTTAGAGCTAAAAATCTTCAAAAGGCTGAAAATAAGGCATTCAAACTGAGCAAGTTCAAATTTCCCGCTAAATTTCACTCCAGAATCTTCCAGAAGCCCATTTTGGTAACGAAATCCGGAAAAATGAAGAAAAATCTCAACGTATCGAAATTGATGATTTTGGACCAAAAATCATAATTTTGGGTTGAAAAATGACAAATTTAGACTCCAAAATACCTTTTTTCTGTCTCAATTTTCATGTTTTTTGACCCAAAATTGACGATTTCAGACCCAAAAATACCTAGTTTTGTCTCAAAAATTCGCCAGTTTCAAACCCAAATATCGCAATTTTTGGCTTTAAAATTCAAGATTTTAGACCCAAAAACATCGAAATTCTGACTTGAAATTGGCGATTTTTGACCCAAAAATACCAATTTTCGACTTTGAAATTCAAAATTTTTAGGCCAAAATTAACGATTTCGAGCCTAAAAATCCGATTTCCAGCCCTCAAAAATCTGAAATTTTGGTCTTCGAATTCAAGTTTTTGGTCCCAAAAATGACTAATTTCGAAGCCAAATTTTGGTAGGAATTTGGCCTGAAAATTTTGATTTTTTCATATCTGGAGCTCAAAATCCTGATTTTTTGATTTTTCTCGTTCTTAGTGTCTAAAAATGAAATTTAGGTTGAAAAATTCAAATTTCCCGCCAATTCTCACCCCAGAATCTTCCAGAAGCCGTGTACGAAGGCGATCCGAGTCGACGGTACGACGAACGCAAAATCGTCTCGTTCATTTGTCCGTATTGCAATGAAAATGGTTTCTCGGAGCGCGGATTCGGGATTCATGTCACGACAGCCCATGTGGACCCTCCAGAATTCAATGTGGTGAGTGTCTTGGACTAGAAATTGGCTGAAAATTGGCTGAAAATGACTGAAAATGGTCTAAAAAAGTTCAAAATTGGCTAAAAATGGTCCAGAAATCTGGAAAATCAGTTTTCAAGTCACCTGAAATGACCCAAAATCGATTTTATTTCCCGTTGAAAAAAGTCTAAAAATGACTTAAAATCGTCCAAAACTGGTCGAAAATTGTTAAAAATCAGTGAAAATGGTTCAAAATTAACTAAAAAAAGACCTGAAAATTCTCAAAAAACGGTTTCAAATCTGTCGAAAATCGATAAAATGACTGAAAAATTCAATGTGGTGAGGGTTTTTGACTGAAAGTTGGCTGAAAATCGGTTTAAAATGACTGAAAATGGTCCAGAAAGCTTCAAAATTGGTTAAAAATGCTCAAAAATAGTCTAAAATGACCCGAAAAATCCGATTTTTCACCTCGAAAATCGTCTTAAAATAGTTCAAATTGTCACTAGAAAGACTGAAATTGGTCTGAAAATATCGGAAAATCGACCAAAATTAGCGGATAATGGTCAAAAAAGGTCCAAAATAGACCTAAAAGTGATCTAAAATTGTTGAAAATCAGTGAAAATAGTTGGAAATTGACTGGAAAATGTTCGAAAGAGGGTCTTAAAAACACTGAAAATGGCATTTTTTGGTCAATTTTTCAGATTTTCTCCCTATTTTTCAGTCAAAAATGGTCTAAAACACTTTAAAACTGGCCGAAAAGCGTTGAAAGTCGGTAAAATTGGTACAGAATCAATCAAATTTAAAAAGTTACAAAATTATTTTTTTTTTCCCAATTTTTAAACAATTTTTCAATAAAAAATTGCTCTTCTCCGGTTCAAAATCGACACGGAAATAGCCCAAAAATGCGCAAAAATGGACTAAAAAAAGGTTTAAACCCTGAAAAATCCATAAAAATGAATCAAATTTAGCCAGAAAACGTTTCAAAAATTCTACAAAAAATGGCCTGAAAGCCTTAAAAATAGCCTCGAAAATGATCTAAAAGGACTGAAAACCCATTTTTTCAGCCTAAAAATAGCTTGAATTTACCCTAGAAACGGACAAAGTTGGCTGAAAATAGGCTTTCTTTTGTCGAAATTGACTGTAAATGGTTTAGCAAGGTTCGAAAGTGGCATGGAAAAATGGCCGAAATTCTGTCATAATAGTCCAAAATTAGCAAAAAACGTCCCTAAAATGCTCAAAAATGGTAAATTTCCTGGGTTTTTCTTCGATTTTCCAGTCGAAATTGACCGAAAAAGGTCCCTAAAATGCTCAAAAAAAGCTATAAAAACGCAAAAATAGCCAAAAACCCCCATTTCTTTTCCAGATTTGCCCCCTCTGCATTGGAATTTCCGACTCGCAGGACCACAGTCTGCCGCGGGAAACCGAGAATTTGTGCTCGCATTGGATAGGACATCACGGCGGAATGTGAGTCTCTTCAAAATTGGATTTTCATGTCTCAAAATTGCCATTTCAGGCCCCAAAATGCCTATTTTCGGTCTCAATTTTCATGTTTTTCGACCCAAAAATACCTAATTTCGGCGTCGAAATTGACGATTTCGAGCTCAATAATGCGACTTTTGGACCTGAAATTCAAATTTTTGGGTCTCAAAATTGATGATTTTAGACCTAAAAACACCAATTTCGATTGGAATTTTAAGCGAAAAAATCTTTAAAAACACTCATTTTTTAGCCAAAAATTGATTTATTGAAATCGGTTTTCTCGAAACAACAGCTGTTAAAAATGAATATTAAAGCGATTTTTTCAATTCCAAAAATTTTTAAAATTGTCCTCAAAGTCCTCCTCCTCCGCCTAACCTATGTTTCCTATGTTTCTTTTTGTCTGATAAAATAAGAAATTCAGGGAAGCCGTGGGTCTTTCGGACTATCTAAACACACTATGGCCTAGGTATGGTGGTGGTCGTGGGAGTAATGGAAGAGGAGGACAATACACTCTTTCGAGGTACCTTAGACACGATTTTTAGTAGGAAAATGGGGATTTTTAGGGATGAAAATGCGGATTTTAGACTTGAAAATTCAAGATTTCAGACCTAAAAATGTCAAATTTCGGCCTCAATAAATATGCGATTTTCGGATATAAAAATTAGATTTTTAAGTCGTCTCAAAATGGATGATTTAACATCCGAATAACGTATTTTTGACTTGAAAATTGAACATTTTAGGTCTAAATATAGCTAATTTCGACTTGAAAATTGATGATTTTAGATCCAAAAATACCAGTTTTCGACTTTGAAATTCAGGATTTTTAGGTCTGAAAATAACCTAATTCAAGGCCAAAATTAATGATTTTCGACCAAAAAACGCGGATTTTAAACATGAAAATTGAACTTTTCAGAGCAAAAAATCACGACTTTCGGCCTCAAAATTGACGATTTCGAGCCTAAAAGTTCCAAAAATCCCAATTTTCGAGGTCAAAATTAACGATTTTAAACTCGAAAATGCGGAAATTTGGATACAAAAATACCTAATTTTGGTCTCAAAATTGACAATTTTAGCCCCCAAAATGTCTATTTCATTCTCAATTTTCATGTTTTTCGACCCAAAACTATCTCATTTCGGCGTCAAAATTGACGATTTCGAATGCAAAAATGCGCTTTTTGGACGTGGAAAATTGCAATTTCAAGACATTTTTGACCTAAAAATTGGATTTAAAATTGCAAAATTTTCGATTTTTAGATCAAAAAATGTTGACCTATTGGCGCCAAAAAACGCAACTTTTTGGTTGCAAAATTTATAAATTTTGCACAATTTTCTCACTTTTTTTTTAGTTTCAAACTCCCATCAAAACCTAATTTTAAGGTTAAAAATTGGGCTTTTAGAGCTCAAAATTGCCTTTAGAATAAGCTTTATTCCCTCCTAAAACCTCTGAAATGCTCCAGACTCGAAGGCAAGTTATCTCATTTCAGCGTCAAAATTGACGGTTTCAGACCCAAAATTCAGAGTTTTGTTTCTCGAAATTGATGATTTTGGACCAAAAAATCATAAATTTGGGTTGAAAAATGACGATTTTTGACCCAAAAATGACTAATTTCAAAGCCGAAATTGACGATTTTTAACCCAAAAATACCTAGTTTTGTCTCAAAAATTCGTCAGTTTCAAACCCAAATATCGCAATTTTTGGCTTTAAAATTCAAGATTTTAGACCCAAAAACATCGAAATTCTGACTACTTGAAATTGGCGATTTTCGATCCAAAAATACCAGTTTTCGACTTTGAAATTCAGGTTTTTAAAGTCTAAAAATAACCTATTCCAAGGCCAAAATTGACGATTTCGAGCATAAAATTCCGATTTCCAGACTCGAAGGCTACCGTCCCAACGACGCTCTAGCCAACTCAACCCGTCCAGCGAATCGTCGACCAATGCTCGCGAGACGAACTCAACGAGCCGGCACCGCCCGAACGACAGGTATCACGGGACGCACGATTCCAGAAGACATTGGGGAATTAATGCGACAGGATGGTACTGATGAGATTAGGAGAATGGCGGAGATGTTGTCAGTACCACATGCAGCAGCTGCAATGGCACGGAATGCTCAGAGAATGATGGCGGCGGCCGGGTTTGAACGGGCTGCCGTGGTGCTGGAGAGCTCGTTGGCCATGCAGGATCAACAGGTTCAACAGGTATCGGTTTTCAGCATACTCGTAACGGGCCGGACCGGGCTTTTTTCCATATTTCGAAGGCCCGGCGGACCCGTCATTTCACAAGTTTTGAAAATTTCAAAAAGCTCATAAAGGGGTTGACACCTTTATGCGATTTTTTTCGATCAAAATTTTTTTCGAGTTTTTTTAAATATATTTTTTGATCAAACAGACAGACAATCCAAAAAAACAAAAAAAAATTGAGAAAATTAAATTGGGAGCTCAAAATTTGGCAATTTTACAAGTATGGTTTTCAGGGGAAATGGGGCTTGAAAGAGCTGAAAAAAGTCAAAATTGGCTAGAAATCTACTCCTAACTTTGACCCAATTTATTTCGACTTCTGTAAAAGATATAAAAAAGGTGTCAACTGACAAAATGATCATCATGACATCAGCAACGTTTTATCAGTTGACCACTTTTTAATATCTCTCACAGGAACCGAGATACTTTGGATGCGAAATTGGACCCATTAAACATTGAAAAATGAATTTTCAGACTATGATTTTGGAAGCTCAGAATTCAAAAATTCGAGATTTCAACCCCAAAAATTGACTTTCCAAGCTCTAAAACCCCAATTTTCCAGGTGATCCGACCGCTCCCGATGGTCCCAATCTATCCGCCGACATCTGACGATTCGGGTGATGAGACGACGCCACGTCCGGCTGCCGATTCAGCTGATGAGGAGGAGGAAGACGACGATGATGACGACGACGAGGATCAGACGTCGTCAGAAGATGGAAATGAGATTCGGGAGATTTTCGAGAAGGCGGCGGTGAGATTTCTTTTGCATGAATTTAGGTCAAAATGAGCTAAAATTGCTTAAAATCACCGAAATTCGGGTTTAATTGACCTCAAAGTGCGTAAACTAGCTGAAAATTGAGTCAAAAATTGCTAAAAATGACCTGGAAAAATCTAGGTCACGACCTAAAAATTTAGGCCAAATCTAGGCCATGATCTGCAAAATTTTGGTCATGACCTGGAAAAATCTAGGTCATGACCTAGAAAAACCTAGGTCACGACCTAAAAATCTAGGTCATGACCTGGAAAAATCTAGGTCATGACCTGGAAAAATCTAGGTCACGACCTAAAAATCTAGGCCAAGACCTAAAAAAATAGGTCATGACCTGGGAAAATCTAGGCCATCTATGTCATCTAGAACGTAAAAAATCTAAGTCACGACCTAAAAAAATCTAGGCCGTGATCTGGAAAAATCTAGAGAAATCTAGGTCATAACCTAAAAAAAAGCTAGGTCATGACCTGGAAAAATCTAGGTCATGACCTAAAAATAGGTCATGACCTGGAAAAATCTAGGTCATGGATCCCTCTTTTTTCTCTTTTTTTTTCCTCAAAAATCTTCAAATTTTGACCTCCAAAAATTCTAAAAATTCCATTGCTGACCTCATCAGAAGCCTCGCAATTCACCTTTTATCAAATGGGTCTTATCTCTTCTTCTTCTTCTTCTGATCATATCAATTAGATGCGAATCCCCTAAAAAATCCCATTGAAAATGCTTATTTTCAGCACTAATCCCCCCCCCCCTGGAATCCCCTCTTTTTGTTTTGACGTAGATTGAGATTTGAAGAGCAGGGATTCTCGTTTTGAAAGGACAAAGATAATGACAGGGGATTAGGAGGATTAATCAAAAAGGATTAGAAAATGCCAAAAAAACTGAAAAATGGTCAGAAATTGGCTGAAAATGGTCAAAAATGGCTGAAAACGGTGGGAAATTGGCTGGAAATGGTTTAAAGACGGTTGAAATGAAACCGAAATTTGTTGAATTTTGTTCAATATTTGGATAAAAATCACTAAAATTCGACGAAAATGATCTGAAATTGTCCGAAAATAAGCTAAAAATGATTTAAAAATGGCTGAAAATTGGATAAAAATCGCGAAATTTTGCTGAAAAACGACTTAATTTTGACTGAAAATGGTCAAAAAATGGCTGAAAAAATGACCCCGAATGATACAAAATGGAAGAAAATTGGCTTAAAACTGGCTGAAAACTATCTTTAGTCCAAAATAGCATAAAAATGGTCCTAAATAGTCCAAAATTGGCTGAAATTGGCTGGAAATTGGATAAGAATGACGAAATTTTGCTGAAAAAACGGCTCAATTTTGGCTGAAAATGGGTCAAAAATGATGGAAAATGACTGAGAATGGTTGAAAAATGGCTGAAAATGATCCCAAATGATCCAAAATGGAAGAAAATTGCCTTAAAATTGACTGAAATTGACTTAAATTGGCTGAAAATTGACCCTAGGCGGTCGGAATTCTCTCAAAATCGAAAATAAACCGAAACATAGCTTTAAACCTGTCAAAAATCAGCTGAAAATGTTTGGAAATTGGCTTAAAAATCCACCCAGAACTGTCCAAATCACTCTAAAAATCTGTAAATTGCGCTTTCAAAATCCGCTCATGTTTCCAGGCCATCACCGAAGACGACGAGCTGAAAAACGACGCGTTCTGGCAGACGATAAAGACGCGAATCACGCCAGAAGAGGTTTCCCTTCTTCTGGAGACACTGAAGACGTCGACGAAGCCAAAAGAAGAAAGAGGAGACGACCGGATTTTGCCGGTTTGGACGCAGCGGCCGCTGAAACCCACGGTTGGAGCGCAAGTGACCACGATTCCTGATGCGGATGGTAGGAGATTTTTGAAAATCTAGGAAAAATGGTCCAAAATGGCTTGAAATTGGTCCAAAGTGACCTAAAAATTGTCCCAAATGGCTTGAAAATAATCCGAAATGACCTAAAAAGGATCCAAATCGGTCCTAAAAGCCTTAAAAATGGCCTGAAAACGGTCATAAATGGTCTTGAAATGATCCAAAATTTCATAAAGATAGTCACTCAAATGTTCCAAAATGGGCTAAAAATGATCCGGAATTGGCTAAAAATGATCCAATTTGCTTCAAAACAGCCTAAAAATGGCCCTAAAACTCTTGAAAATAGTCATAAATTGCCTAAAAAGAACCCAAATAGACCTGAAAAACGTCCTTACATGGTTTAAATGAGGATATTAACGGTTCAAAATGGTCTTAAATGACCTAAAAATGATCTAAACTTGCCCAATAAGAATCCAGAAAAGTCTAAAAATGGTCGAAAATGGCCTAAAATTAGCCTTAAATGGGTTACAACAGGCTTAAAATAGTTCGAAATGACCCAAAAATGGTCAAAAATAACTTAACATGGTCCAGATGGGCCTGAAACACCAAAATGGTCTAAAATAGCCTAAAAATGATCCGGAATAGTCTTAGGTCAATTTTTCGGCAATTTCAGATCTTTTATAAGATATTTTGGGCATTTTTAGGTCAATTTTTAGGCTACTTAGAATCATTTTTAGGTCAATTTTGACTATTTTTAGGGCACTTTAGGCAATTTCAGGCATTTTTAGGTCAATTTTTAGGCAATTTCAGACCGTTTATAGGGTATTTTGGGTCATTTTTAGGTCATTTTAGGCATTTTCAGGGAAATTTTCGACTATTTTCAGGGAATTTTTAGGCATTTTAGGCAATTTCAGATCTTTTATAGGATCTTTTGGGTCATTTTTAAGCCATTTTAGGCTTTTCTATGTCAATTTTGACTATTTTTAGGGCATTTTAGGCATTTTTAGGTCAATTTTTAGGCAATTTCAGATCTTTTATAAGATATTTTGGGTCATTTTTAGGTCATTTTAGGCTTATTTAGCTTGATTTCGACCATGTTCAGGAAATTTAAGGCAATTTCAGGCATTTTTAGGTCAATTTTTAGGCAACTTCAGATCTTTTATAGGATGTTTTGGGCCATTTTTAGGTCATTTTAGGCATTTTTTGTCGATTTGGATTATTTTCAGGTCATTTTAGGCAATTTCATGCATTTTCAGGTCAATTTTTACGCATTTTGAGATCAATTTTAATACTATATAGGACCATTTTTGAGCCCCAAACCCCCAATAAATCGATATTCCAGGCGATCAAGGCTGGCTGCCCCTGTGCCTCGAAACCACGCCCCTTCGATCCACTGGCTGCGGAGGCTACTGGTCCGACAAACGATTTCTACGTCCTCGAAAGATGCAGAGAGAGCAATCGGTGGCGAGTTCGAATGCTGAAATCATGGAAAAAGCGGAAATTGCAATGGCGCTCTGTCGAGCAACCACCCAGCATCAACCCGATTTCTCGGATGTCTCAAAACCCGACGTCGCGCTTCGAGAGGCATTGAAACACTTGAATTTGGGAGAGAAACCCGAGAGAATGAAGGAATATCTGGCGGCCGAGGAGGTTGTGCATCGGCCGGAACGCGATCCGTTGACATTGGAAAGTGTGGAGATTCCGGATTTCACCGCCAGAGGATATGGACAAATTGTTGATGGGGTGGTTACGTTGGGGGTGGTGCCGGAGGCTGATGAGTTAGTTTTTTGACAGGAAATTTGGAAAAAAAAAACCCCAAAAAATCATGAAAATCGGCAAAAAATAAGCCGAAAAGAGTGAAAAATACCGTAGTTTGTAGTCTTTGTAGTCTTTGAAGTCTTTGAAGTCTTTGTAGTCTTTGTAGTATTTGTAGTCTTCGTGGTCCTTGTTGTCTGTGTAGCCTTTGTAGTATTTGTAGTCTTTGTAGTATTTGTAGGCTTTGTAGTTCGTAGTCTAAAACGTCTGATTGCGAAATGGCCACATTTTCAAACAATGAAGTTTCGACACCACCTCTACAACAAGACTACAAACTACAAACTAAAAAAACTACGAGCTACGAAAATCTGAAATTCCAGAAAATTCAGAAATTCAGAAGTTTTCAAAATTTATTTTGACACCAAAAACTCAAAAGACTACAACAAAGACTAAAAAAGCTACAAACTACAAAAATCTGAAAATTCGGAATTCAGGAATTTTTGAATTTTGTAAATTTTCAGATTGTTTCAATTTTTTGGAATTTTTAAAATTTTCAATTTGAAATTGTTGAACTTTTTTGGAAGACTACAAACTACAAAAACTACAAAGACTACAAACTACAAAAAACCTGAAATTCCAGACATTCAAAACTTTTGAATTTGGTGAAAACTTTGAAAATTAGAAGTTTTCAAAATTTCCAAAAATTCAAAAAGACTACTAAGGCTACCGACACTACAAAAACTACAAACTACAAATAGAACAAACTGCTCTAGAAAATTAGAAAAATTCAGGATTTTCAAAACTCTCAAAAACTTGGAAACTACAAAAGCTATTAGGTTGGCGGGAAAGTCTTTGTCACTTTTTCAATAGTTTATTTCTCAAAGAAAAAATAACCGAATAATTAATTATATTGTCCATCATTATCAACAACATGTCTCCAACGTTCCCTCAATTTATGGATTCCATTGCGGTAGAATCCAGCCGGGCGTGAGGCAAAGTATTGTTTGAGTGCCGCTTCGACCGCTCCACGGGAATTGAAGCTTCTTCCTTCGAAGGCACGTGTCATATCGCCAAATAACCAATAGTCGGAAGGAGCAAGATCAGGAGAATACGGGGGGTGAGGGAGAACATTCCATCCATATCCCATCAGCTCCTGCTTCACTTGTTTCGAAACATGTGGGCGAGCGTTATCATGTTGATAGTACACTTTCTTGTCTTTCAGGGCCGAACGGTCGACTGCTTTCTTGAGGTTTCGTAGTTGAGTAGTGTAGAGGTCTCCAGTTATTGTTTTGCCCTCGGGCAGAAGTTCCCAGTAGATGGGGCCGTCCACTCCCCACCACACAGAGAGCATAACTTTTTTCGGATGAAGGCCGGGTTTGGGGACATCCTGTGGGCTCTCTCCTTCTCCAACCCACTGGGATTTCCTGTGGTGATTATCGTAGAAGACCCACTTCTCATCTCCGGTTATTAGCCGGTCCAGCCATCGATCGCCCGCGTGGAGAGTGAGAAGAGTAATCGAATCGTCGACTCGGCGGTCAAGGTTGGCTTGAGTCAGGTGATGACGTATGAATCGACCAAAAAGTTTTCTCATTCCAAGAGACTTCAAACCTTCAAGGACTGTGCTATGGTGAACTCCGAATGTGACAGCTAGTTCACGGCTAGATTGAAATGGATCCGATTGCAATGCGTGCTTCAGCTTGTCCAAATCCAACTCACGGGGTCTCCCAGAGCGATCCTTTTCATCGAGCGAGAAGTCATCTTTTTCGAAACGATGGAACCAATTGCGAATAGTATTGTAGTGAGGGGCATGTGTGTTGTACACATTCTTCAAGAAAGTTTCCGAATCCTTCATCGTGGTGTGAGATAGGAAGAGGTAAATCAAAACATGTCTGATGTGAATAGCAGTGGGAACAAACATATCGTTTCAATTACAGATGAGGAGCAGGGAAGGAAATGGGGACTTGTTTATATGGAAGGTTCTTATCACCTTGTTATTCACTAGAGTCGATATCATACACAGCCTCCATATACGAGAACAGTGATTAAACAAACAGAGTGACAAAGACTTTCCCGCCAACCTAATACAAAGGCTACAAGCTACAAAAACCTATATTTCAGAGCCATTTCCCATTCGGAAGACGAAGAAGAGGCTGCGGCGCTCCGGCGTCGTGGTGGCACGACGACGGACGGCGAAGAGACTTCTGGAGACGAGGAATCTGAAAATGACGACGACGACGACGATGATGATACACAGAACGACGAAGAAGAAGATGATGATGACGTGGATGATGATGATGATGATGATGGAGGCAGTGTGGATAGCTCGATTCTCAATCCTAATTGATTTTTGAAATTTTTGAATTTTTCATAAAATTTTTTTTCAAAAATTGCTTTTTTTTGTCAGTTTCTTTGTGTAGAAATCCATTATTTTTTTCGCCGATTTCCTCCTGATTTTTAAAGAAATTTTGTAATTTTTGAATTCAAATTTCCCGCCAAAGGTCCCTTTTTCAGCTATTTTTTTTCTAGATATTTTTGTGTACAAAACAACAAAAATTGGCTCATTTTTTTTGTAATTTTCCCCCTAGAATTGGCTATTCTTTTGACTATTTCTTATTGCTCACTCTCCGGTTTTCATCCAATCCTCTTTTTGTCATAAAAATGACTATTTTCGAAAAATAATTTTCAAAAAAAAAATCCCCAAAAAATTCCCCAAAAAAAATGGGCCGAAAATTGGCTCAGTTAGCTAATTTGGCTTGACATTTAGAATCCCAGAAAAATAAATTTTTTTGGACTTTTTCTATTTTTTTGCTGAAAAAAAATGCGAAATTTGGGTAATTTTAACTGCCTTTTCTGCAGTTTTAGCAGTCTTTTAAAGTTCAAATTTCTCTTTTTTTTAATAGACAATTCTCTTGAGAATACTATATTTTTGCTGGTTTCCTAGAAAAAGCGAAAAAAATTAATTAATTTTTTTGTCGATTTTTTTTTTTGGGTTTTTGGTCTGAAAATTTTGGGTTTTTTGGAGGAAACTTCCATTTTTCAGATAAAAAAATTTTACTTTCTAGAAAGCTTTTGAGAAATCCTTATCACTTTTCAGAACTCAGAAATCTCTATTTTGAAGCGAGTTAGAGCCATTTGAAGGTTGGTGGCCTAGAAACCCAAAACTAGGCCATACAGGTTCAAATGGCTGCAACTCGCTTCAAAATAATGATTTTTGGACTCTGAAAACTAGTATGGATTTCTCAAAACAACAGCTTTTCAAAAATATATAAATTCCATGGCCTAACTTTTTCGAAAGTTTGGATTTCTAGGCCATAAACTTTGAATAGCTATAACTTGCTCAAAAATCGTTTTTTGAACCGGGAAATCTAAAAATTCTAGAAAACCTAATTCTAGAACTTTCCAAATGCGTCCATCTCCGTTCCATTTTCAGACACCAGACACCTCTGGGAGACGTCTAATTATCCCCGAAAAAAATGAAGTGACGTCTTCTGAATTTCAGAATTCAGAATTGACGAACGTCATCTGCCCAAAAAAAAGTGTCTGAAATTTATTTCTGAATTAATGCCTATTGACGTAAATTGTCATATTTATAAAAATAAATTAAATTTCCTTTTCACCTGGAAGCAGAATTTCGGAATTCGAAGAGGGTGTGAAAAGAAATTAGTGATCAAAATATGTATACCTTCTTTTCGTCATTTTTTCAGCTTCTTTGAAAAACGCGCTGTATCTCAAAAACTAGAAAAGCTATCAGACTTTGGAAAACTACAAAAATGTAGCCCATAAAATTCTACACATTTTGTTAGTTGACAACTTTTTGATAGCTAACGTGGTTTCAGAGATACAACGCTTGAAAGCTAGCGAGCCTGGCAAAGAGTCGCCGCGCCTTTCTCTGCGTCTCTCCCTCGCCCACAGTTTAGTGCGACAACTTTAAAGGCGCATAACTCTTTAACAAATTTAGCTGTTAAAAAAATTTTAACTAGTAAAATGTGTAAAATTTTATGCTCTACATTTTTGCAGTTGACAGTTTTTTGATAGATGTTCTGGTTTTTGAGAATGCTTACCTAGAATTTGAAGAATTGCAACTTTCTAGGAGGGCGTAGATGCCTTTATGAGGGGAGATTTGACTATTTTTTTAAATAAATTCGTTAATTATTAATTTAACAAATATAAATAGCTTTACAAACCAAGAGAACCAGAGAAAATAGATTTTCTAGCTTGTCTGCGTCTCTTTTTGGGCTTTTTTACTTTAAAGGCGCTTAACTCAAAAACTGAAAAAGGTATCTAAAAATTGTGAAAAACAAAAATGTAGCCCATAAAATTCTACACATTTTGTTAGTTGACAACTTTTTTGATAGCTAGCTTGGTTTCAGAGATACAACGCTTGAAAGCTAGCGAGCAATCGAGGAGTCGCCACGCCTTTCTCTCTCTCCTCCCACCCGGGATACAGTGGGACGACTTTAAAGGCGCATAACTCTTTAACAAATTTAGCTGTTAAAAAAATTTTAACTAGTAAAATGTGTAAAATTTTATGCTCTACATTTTTGTTGTTCACAACTTTTTGATAGTTCTTCTAGTTTTTGAGATAGAGCGCGTTTTCTAATGCATACCTTGAACTTGGACATGCGAGATGCCTTTATAAGGGGAGATTTGGCTATTTTTTAAAATGAATTTGTTAATTACTATTTAACAAAAATAGCTTTACAAACCAAGAGACACAGAGAAAACAGCCATTCTAGCTTCTCTGCGACTCTTTTAGAGACAGTTAACTTTAAACCGGTTTATCTCAAAAACTAAGCAAGCTAGGGAAAAGTTGTCCATTACAAAAATGTAGAACATAAAATTTTACACATTTTGTTAGTTAAAACATTTTTGATAGCTAATTTGGTTTAGGAGTTATGCGCCTTTAAAGTCGACAAGTTTCCCCCAAAGGCGCGCCGTCTCCTTTCTCTGCGTCTCCGCTCCCTCTCTCTCTCTCGCTTACATTGAGCTTTGATGCGTTATATCTCTGGAACCATGCTAGCTATCAAAAAGTTGTTAACTGATAAAATGTGTAAAAATTTATGGGCTACATTTTTGTAGTTGACAATTTTTTGATAGATGTTCTGGTTTCTGAGTCATAAGCGTTTAAACATAAGTAGGCATAAGATGACCCCTTTTAGGATTATTTTTTCCAGGAAATCCAATAAAAGCTATAAACGATGCTTTTGATATTGATATTCAACCACTAATCTCATTTGATCATCAAATTTCTTTTTTGCTGACGCAAATCGGATTTCCTTTTTGTCTGCAACTCGGGACGAAAAAAAGGAAATTGATATTTGTGGATCAATTGGATTAACATATAACATTTCATAGAAATAGATTGAGTGACGGAGAAACCTTTTTTCGGGTTTCCTCTGCTTAAAAGTGGGAAACAATAATAAATGTATGGGCAAAATGTGAATCTCTCACAAGAAATTGGATCATATGGGATTAGAGGGAACCTTTTTGGAAAGATCAAAAAAAAAATTTTGGTTTATATGTTTTTTTTCCAAAATTTGAGATTCCAAAATAAACTATGTAATCGTGCTCTGTGGACAAAAATAGCAAAAAAAGAGTGGTCACTTTCAAACGCGCATATCTCAAAAACCAAACAAGCTAGCTGGCAGTGATAAACTATAAAATTGTAGCTTGTAAAATTTTACATATTTTGTTAGTTGACAACTTTTTGATAGCTAGCTTGGTACCAGAGATACAACGCTTGAAAGTTCATAGTCAGCGCGACAGAAAGTGAGGAGCGAGGGAGAGAGAGGAGGAGACATAGAGAAAGGAGGCGCCGCGCCTTTCTCTGCATCGTCGACTTTAAAGGCACATAACTCTTAAACGAATTTGAATATTAAAACATTTTTAACTAATGAAATGTGTAAAATTTTAAGGACTACATTTTTGTAGTTGACAATTTTTTGGTAGCGTTTTTAGGTTTTTCAGTAGAGCGCGATTTCTGGCGCATACCAAAAAAACGAATAGAACTGTAAATTTTGTTATTGTTTCAAGAAAATTTATGAAATTTCTGAATCATTCGTTTACAAATGAAATGAGTAACGCAAAAAAAGACTTTATAAACCGAGAGACGCAGAGAAACGAGATTTTCTAGCTTCTCTGCGTCTCTCATAACCAGGCTTCAGCGCACGCTAACTTTAAAGGCGCACAACTCCAAAACTAAACAAGCTAGAAAAAAGTTGTCAACTACAAAAATGTGTCAAATGTTATGCTTTACATTTTTGTTGTTAAAAAGTTTTTAGTAGCATTCTTAGTTTTTGAGATAAATGCTCTGGAAAAAGTGGATATCAAAAATCAAATTTTTTAATTTATTGAGCTAGACCTAAATTGAAGGTTACTTTCAATAAAGTACATATATTATTACAATGTAAAAAGTTAAATTTTAGCTAAGAAATTATAGAATAGTTCAGATTTTGAGCAATTATATAATAATTCCAGTCTGAGCAGTTCTATTTTAGACTTTGAGAAATTTGAAAGTGCTCAAAAAGTTGATTCCAAAAGTTTTGCAAAAGTTCTTCATATTATTGTTTTTTTGTCCCACGATTTCCAAAAAAAGCCGTCATCTGGATTAATTTATCTGAAAATTCTGAAAATTTTTTTAGAAAGTTCTGAAAACCTAAATTTTCCTACGTCATCGAACTAACAAGTACATTTCATTTCCAGCCTATTTTTTTCAAATTTTCCTCTCTAGACGACGTGTCCGTGGGAAAATTAAATTCAAGTATAATTATGACTGAAAATCTGGAAATTCCTTGACTGACCTCTCCAAAATTTTTCTAATTTGCCGCCCGCAAGCTCCATCCGGCGCCCTTTTTGTATACGCTTTACGCACTTATCTACTCTGTTGCATTCTTGGCGCAGTGGTAGTGCGTTACACTCCCGTGCGAGAGGTCGCGGGTTCAAACCCCCTGTCCTCCAAATCATTTTTTATTTTTGTTATTTCCATCCGCCTTGCTTTTGAATATATTCTTATGGCCTTACTATTAGTCAAATAGTAAAAAATCATTTTAAAATGCGTAAAAAACCGCACACAGGTGAAAAAAATTTGTGGTTGTGTTTGGGCATGATCTCATATTTTTGGTGTTATATTAAATTATTGGTTTTTTAGTAGTATCATAATTCCACAAATGTCGGAAAAAACATGTGAAAATGAGAGAAAAAAAGGAAAAATGTGCAGAGCAAAAATCTCGCAGAAAATAGAATTAGATCGTGATCTGCCTATAAAGTGATTCAATTTGTTTTTAGTGTCTAGGTTTGGTGATTTTGGGTTTCAGTTTTTGAACAAATTAGGTGATTCAGAATGTGTTAGATCTGTTGATTAGCTGATCTAGGTCAAGCAAGAGACGCAGACAACGAGCCGCTCGCGTTTCTCTGCGTCACCCGCGGCATATTAGTTAGTTTAAAGGCGCATATCGCAAGAACTGTATTAGCTACTAAAAAGTTTTTAACTATGCAATTGTAGAACATAAAATTTTACATTTCTTGGTTTTTGCAGTTTTGTTCTAGCTATTTTTCTTCTCGAGATATAGAAGTTTTAGGAAAATTAAGCATATAAGTTTTCAAAAGCACATATCACAAGAATGGTTTTAGCTATCAAAATTTTGTTAACTACTAAAACGGAGAGCATAACATTTTACACATTTTTTACGTTTTCACATTTTTGTAACTTTAATGGTTCGCGAGATATGCGCCTTTAAAGAAAAGGGTAAGACACAGAGGCGCGCCCCCTCCCCCTTTTGCGGTGAGCGGCGCGAATAAATCGTTGCACGCATATAACACGAGAACCGTAACAGTCATCAAGATAATTTAAGCTATGAAAATGTGTAAAATTTTATCGTCTATATTTTTGTAGTTAAACACTTTTAGCTAGCTATTTTGCTATTTGAGATACAAAGCTTAGAGTGCAAACGCCTAAAAAATTGGGCCAAGTTCTTAAAGGAGCATATCTCAAGAACCGTTCTAGTTATCAAAAAATTTCAACTACAAAAACATAGCTCTTAAAATATTCAATAAGACCATGTAAAAATTGATATTCTTGCTTTTTTAGTTTTCGAGATACAGTAAACCTTTGAACGGCTATCATTTTACTTCCTTCAGAAATGATTCAGCCACCCTCAAACAAACGTCAGGTTTAAGCCAAAAACTTTAAGCCTGAAAAAACCTTTTTTTCAAAATTTTTTTTGTCTGAAAGACAAAACGTCAAGTTGATCTGAAAATGCGGCTAATCCATGATCCACTTGTGACTTTTCCCCACCAAATCACGTCAAAAAACACATAATTATTTCCTTCAGCCGGACGGATTATCCTCTAAAAAAAGCCGGATCAAATGAAATGAGTCGCTTTATCACCGTCAGAGAGAGAGAGAGAAAGAGCATATCATCATTTCTAGGCTCCGCCCATTTTTCTGGGCTTTGCTAAAGGGGCGGAGCTTAATACGGAACAAATGAAAGTATAGGGTATATAAAAGGATAACAATGATATGGTAGATGCCACCTGTTTAAAGGCGCATACCTCTAAAACCAAGAGGGTTGTCAAAAGTTTGTAAACTATAAGAATGTTTCAAATTTTATATTCTACATTTTTGTAATTTACAGTTCTTAAGTAGCGTTTTTAGTTTCTAAGATACAACGCTTCGAAGTTGCGCACTGTTCTTCATCTTTTAAAGCTTCGTACTCTTCTTTAAAGGCGCACATCTCGTTAACTAATTAACCTATTTAAATTTTGCAAACTACAAAAATGTAGAGCTTAAAATTTTACACATTTTAATAATTTCCAAAATTGTTGTATCTCTTACAGTTCTTGAGTTATAGGTCCTCAAAGATTAGACACCCCCCCCCCCCCTATTTCTCTGCGTCTCTTTTCAAATTTAAAGGCGCATATCTCATAAACCAGGCTAGCTATCAAATTTTGTTTATATTAAAAATACAGAGCGTAAATATTTACATATTTTAATAGTTTACAATTTTTTTCTAGCTTTATTGGTTCTAGTGTCACAGGTCCTCAAAAAAACGAGCATGAACGCCCATCTGTGTCACTCAACTTTAAAGGCGCATATCTCAAAAGACATAAAAGCTAGATAATTTTTGTCAACTACCAAAATGTTTGAAATTTTATAAGGTACACTTTTGTAGTTGACAAATTTTTACTAGCACTTTTAGTTTTAGAGATATGCGCCTTTAAGTTGTGGGCACCGAGGTAGGCAAACGCCGAAGGGCGCCTTTAACTTTAAAGGCGCATATCTCCAAAACCCGATTAGCTATCAAAATTTTGTCAACTAACAAAATATTTAAAATTTTATGTTTTTCATTTCTCTAGTTGTCCTTTTTTGCTGGCTCTCTTAGTTTTCGAGATACACCCCTATCATTCGAAATTAGTCGTCTATTATTTAAAAGTGGAACCGCATATATTCAAATTGCATCTATTCAAAAAAAACGCCTTCAAAAATTCTCTATTTTTGATCTTTGGGAACTTTGACTAATTTAGTTTTTTGCACTTCCTCATTTTCTCATTCTCTTCCAGACATTTTTTATTACGCTAGCGGATATTGTGCCAAATCTTCTACTATGCGACCAAGATCTTTGAAAATTAATCCCCCTTAAGCTCCGCCCACTTTTCTATATGACTCATTTTGCCAGAATTGATTTCCTGTGGGGTTAGTTAATTGAATTTTTAATGCCACTGCAAAAATCTTAATTAACAGTAATCTTTAATCAGTGTATTTTTCAAAACGCTATATCTCAAAAATTAATTAAGCTAGCGAAAAATTGTTAATTAAGAAAATGTGTAAAATTTTATAAGCTATAGTTTTGCAGTTGAAAGTTTTTAAATAGCATTTTTAGTTTTTGAGTTATGCGTCTTTAAAGCTCAGTTATCCCCCAAAGGCGCGGCGCCCGCTTTTTCCACGTTCCCTCTCTCTCGCTTGCCTAGTGCTAACTTTAAAGCCGCATAACTCAAAAACGAATAACGCTATCACAAAAATTTTTAACTACCAAATTGTTGCTTATAAAATTTTACACATATTACTAGTTGACAATTTCCTGTTAGCTTTATTATTTTTCGAGTTATGCGCCTTTAAAGTCAATGGAGTTTTTAATTAAAATGAAGATTATCTAGATTCCCAGATACTTTGCCAATCACTTTCAGCTGTCTACGTTCTTTCAATTTATTCTGAGCAATCTCAAGACCAAAACTCACGCCCCTCCCCCACCCTTCTGACAAGAAAATGGGCGGAGCTTATAGCAGATTTTCAGATTTTCAAAACTAGCTCATACTATCCAATGAGTAACGGATATACCAGATTTTTCGGTTTTGAGGTCATTTAGGAAATGACTAGTCACACCACTTTGTACTCAAGATTTGGTCCACTTTCATATTAAATCGAGTCATTTATATATATTTTTCAACTTCCTTAATTTTCAATAATCAGAAAATTGCTAATAACTTAGGCGGAATTTGACAAATCAAGCTGAAAATAAAACTTTCGGATTCAGCTCGTTCAGAGGGTTCAAAAGAGTATAATCATGGCTATGTTCGAAGCATTCTGGATTTTTCATGCAAATGCGCTCCAATGATAATTAGCTCATAACTGTGCTATTCTCGGTTCAATTTGATCGAAGTTTACATTTTTTAATTCTCCACGTTAAGAGGGTTCAAATGAGTATAATTATGACTATGTTTTATGCATTCTGAATTCTTAGTGCAAATGCGCTCCAACGATAATTACCTCATATCTCGGCTAGTTCTTGTCCAATCGAATTTAAATTCAAATTTTCTAACTCATCACGTTTAGACGGTTTGAACGAGTATAAACATGACTATATTTGCATTGCTTATTGCAAACGCGCTCTAATGATAATTAACTCATATCTCATCGCATTTAATTTCAATCTGAGTGCAATTTGAATTTTTGGACTTCTCACGTGAAAACGGTTTGAAAGAGTATAAACATGACTATGTTTTAAGCATTCTGAATTTTTAGTGCAACTGCGCTCCAATGATAATTAGTTCATATCTCTCTCAGTTTTGGTTCAAAACTTGTGAAATTATATTTTTCTGAATTTTCATATCATCTTAGTTCGAATGAATATTGACATGATGTTTTTAGTTTTAATCCTCATTGTGAAAACCTGCTCTATTGATAATTAGCTCTATTCTTCCAGATGGACACTTTCATTCCAACATCGTTCACATCTGTGTCAACGACATCCCCGCTAACAGGTTCGTGTTCTGATATGTGCTCGGGAGGGAAGAAAAATGGGGCTTATCGGATTTGAAATATGATTTCATAAATATATGATTTGGTCTTATCAGTTTATGTCTTATCAATTTGAATAATTGATCCGATTGATGTTGTTTTTTGTGTAAAATTGTGTGCTTTACATTTTCCAGTTCAAAATTTTCAGCTATCTTTTCGAGATAATTCCATTTTTCCAGACGTCGTCCTCCAAACCATAGCCGCTCTTCAAGCATGCCCAACGTCTTCTATTCAGTCAACATCAACGTCTTCAATTTTATCATCACCAAATTTAACATTTCCACCAACAATTCCTAGTGTTAATTTGTTTCCTCCGCCCACACAACCTCAGTTAGGAGTATCAGTACAGGTAAGAGAACGCGCTCTATCTAAGAAACTAAAAAAGCTATCAAAAAATTATCAACTACAAAAATGTAGGCTATTAAATTGTACACATTTGACTAGTTAAAATGTTTTTAGTAGCCAAATTTGTTCGAGAGTTATGCGCCTTTAAAGTTGGCTTTAAGCTATCGCGAGCCACCGCGCCTTTCTCTGCGTCTCTCCCCCAGAGGAAGTTTAAAGGCGCATAACTCTCAAACTAATTTAGCAAACAAAAAATGTTTGACTAATAAAATGTGTAAAATTTTATGAGCTACATTTTTGTAGTAAACAAAATTTTATAAGCGCTTTTATTTTCTGAGATATGCGCCTTTAAAGTTAGAATGCACAGTTAGTCGCGCGCACTAACCTTAAAGGCGCATATCTTCAAAACTTGGAGAGCTAAAAAAGTTGTAAATCACAGAAAGCGTAAAATGTCGCATGGTTTAACATTTCCAGAACTTCCTCCCCAATACCTCTCTACTCCAAGCCACACCATCTGCCCTTGACCTCCTCACCCTATTCGCCACCACCAGTCGACGGGCGTCCTGCCCTGAGCCGCCTGCCACGTCACAAGCTACAGTAACTCTCCAAGTTCCTAGCAGTGGATCTCCGGAACGTCGTCGTTATTCAGAAACCAATGTGGAAACATTGATTCGTGAACAGTTGGCTCAAATGATGCCGAGCACTGCTCAGCTACCCGGTATGCCTGGTTGCTATTATCAACATGTGCCTGCTGTGACGTCTTCTGGATCTGTGTCTTCTGGATTAGAGTTGCAAAGAGCTATGGAGCAGACGAGAATTCAGAATAATCTAGTTAACGCACAACGAAGAGCTCAGAATCATAGGAAAGCGAGGTTAGTTGCGAAACAAAGGATTATGTTCAGAGTTGCCAACTTTAAAGGCGCATATCTCAAAAAGTAAGGATCCTAGTTGAACATTGCCAATTTCAAAAACATAAAACATAAGATTTTTCACATTTTAATTGTTGAACACTTTTCAATAGATTTCTTGGTTTTTCAGCTATGCGCCTTTAAATTCGAGGCGCGCAGCCTATCCCTCTAGAGCGCGCGCTAACTTTGCAACTTTAAAGGCGCATATCTCAAAAACTAAGAACGCCATCAAAAACTTGTACATTACAAAAATGTGTGAAATTGTGTGGTCCACATTTTTTTAATTGATAAAACTTCTCTAGCTGTTTTAGTTTTCGAGATACACAACTTCAAAGTTTGCACTTTCCTTCTGCATGACGTCCAAACAAGCAGTCTATAACGCAAAAGTACCTGGGAACCTGAACGGAAATTTGTTCAGTTTTTCTCACGCAGAAAATAGTTCTGTTTGAAGTTTCGTATGACTAGAAAAGCGTGCCAAATTACGAAACACATGATTATGGGAACGATTGGAGGGGTACACTGGGAAAGAGGGACTAGAAAGAGGGACCTTTACTTTAAAGGCGCATATCTCTAAAACTATACAAGCTAGAAAAAGTGGTAAACTGCAAGAATGAAAAACATGAAACTTAGCACATTTTGCTAGTTAAAGGTGGGGGGACAGGAGATTTTTCGTAGTTTTTTTGTAGCTAGAGTATGCATTCTACCGTGACGGTGTACAACGCTTAATGTCACTCTGCGTACAGCTGTCGTCCTCGCCTTTATGTATGCAATCGGGCGTGCGCTTTCTCTTTGCCCGCGTGGCTCAGTCGGTAGCGGCGCCGCACCCTCAATCATCGCCCTCACAAGTTCAACTCCTCGAGAGGCATCTTTGAACGGAATTTCGAGAACATTATTTTCTTCATGTCCCCCCACCTTTAAAAATGTCTTATTAGCACTTTTAGCTTTTGAGATATAACGCTTCAAAGTTAGTGTGTAGTCTCCATGAGCGCGTGCACTAACCTAGCTTCAAACGCGTATATTTCAAGAACTAAGCAATCTAGACAAAAGCTATAAACTACACAACGTAGAACATAAAATTTTACATATTTTTTCAGTTTACAAAATGTATGAAGCCAATTTAGTTTTTGAGATATGCGTCTTCAAATTTAAGGTTCGTAGTCCCCATGAGCGCGCGCACTAACCTAACTTTAAAGGCGCATGTCTCGAGAACCAAATCAGCTATAAAAATTTTGTGAACTATAAAAGTGTAAAGCATAAAATTCCACTCATTTCAATAATAAACAGTTTCTTATTAGCTCATTTAGTTTTTGAGATATATGTGAAAATTCCAGAACAATCTACGGGACGACACAAACCCAACAACTCGAGGACATGTTCCGTGGTCAGATGTACGTCGTCGGAGCCGAACGTGAGAATCTGGCAGCGCGACTAGGATTATCACCTTCTCAGGTAAGAATTTGGTTCCAAAACCGACGGAGCAAGCACAGGAGGAAGCAACAGGAAGAGCAACAGACAAAGAGCCCTGGATTTTCGGAAAAAGAGGAAAAATTAGATGAGGAGGAAGAGGATGAGGATGAGGATGATGATGATGTCAAGATTTTGAATTGAACGCTCTCAAAAGCTCAAAATTCGACCTGCAAAACCTTTTTGTTC